CCCTCCACCCCGCAGAGACTCCATGTCCCGTAGAGATGACTATCCATCCCCAAGAGATGACCATTACAACCCTAAGGACGGGTAAGAAATATCAGAACCAGGGTCTATTGTGAATTATTTCTGAGCATAAACAGGAAAATTTACACATGAGATTAAAAAAAAAAAAATACTAAAGGATAATATGGTAAAGTTGTAGAATAAACGCTCCATAAACACTTTTATTGTACCTTGTTGTTGTGATGAACCTAAATAGATTGGTTCTGTTAAATTATTTTTAGATACTCCAGCCGGGATTACAGCTCAAGAGACCGGGACTATGGACCCCCTCCCAGAGATTACTCCTACAGAGAATATTCTAGTTCCGGCTCCAGAGATGACTATGGGTCGATGTCAAGAGGATACAGGTATGCCTGTCACTGTAGTATATTTTGCTTGATGATAAATTACCCAGAAATGATTGTGATGAATAGTATTGATACAATTTGAAAGTAATGTAATGATAAAGAAGTACATTAAAGCTCAATACTTTGAGCTCAATCCAGTTAACACTGAAACTGAAAGAGATTTTAAACATCTAAAAGAACTAAACAAAGCAACCAAAAACACTAAATGAAATTAAAATAAAAACATAAACACATCTAAAACCATAAATAAAATAGATTATGAAGTCTGTGTATGTAAAATTGCCCTTCAAAGATGTTAATCTTTGGTCTCATACCAGGAAAACTGTCAGGTGTGACTTTTATAAACAAAAGTGCTAACTAACAACAAAAACACTCCATTTGAATAACTACCTGCATTTTCTGGCTTGTGCACAGGGCAAGTAACTGACCCCAGAGTTCACTCCTCCTTCAGCTAAGGCAACAAAAAGGGAGGGGTCAGTCAGGTCAACGCACTGGAGTGAAGCCTTTTGTTATCCAGTCTAGTAGAAAGAGAAAAAGAAAGAAAACAAACAAATGCATATTATTGAGTTTATTTTAATAATTGATGTGCTTACTATGACAGACTAAAATACAGGTTTTCTTTAGTTCTTAAGGTTTTAAGAGATTCTTAAAATCACACCTGATCATCTAATTGTAACGGAGTTGTTATGTTTTTTACTAAGCGACCGTGATGGTTATGGAGGTGGCAGAGAGCCGAGAGGCTACATGGATCGTCCCAGTGGTGGCTCCTACCGAGATTCCTATGATGGTTACGGTAAGATGCAGCTCCATGAGCTCAACAAATAATTACTGTCACACAGGGAAAAGCTGCAAAAATAAGTCATGGCACAGGCTGCAACAGAAAGCTCAAGTTCACTACCTCCCAAGAGAAGAACTGTCACCTTGAACAAACCTCCAACTTGCACATTTATATTTAATTCAAATATTGGCTTCTAGGCTGAAAGCAGATATTTGACTAAAAGCTCAGTCCACTCAATGCAATTCCTGTATTTATCAAAAGTGTGACAATTTCAGACAAAGACACAATTTGATTTGACTTGACGCAGAGTATGCAACTGTAAGGATCCCTCAAAAACCTTGGAAATGTCCATTAAGTGTTGCTTAGCAAAGCACTCCCTCAAGGAGTAAACCTCACAAACCTTCAAGACAGAAAACCTCGTCTCTGTTCTTCACCTGGAAAAGGAAAAATGGCTTCCTGAGTAAATGGCATGCAGGAATGGAGTAACACTACCCACTTATTCAATGTAGAAGACATAAATTTTATATCAACTGCAACTGCTCATCAACTAAAACATCCACATTAAATGTCCATTCAAACAAATGGAAGATAAAAAAAAAAACACAAGCCATGAAATTTGTCACAGGATGAATTCTATTGGCAGAAAGTGCGCACTTAATGGTGCAAGTAATTTATTGAAGTTGAACCTTACCTGAACCATTACCTGAACCATTGACCCTGCAGGTAACTCTCGCAGCGCCCCACCCTCACGGGGCCCCCCACCATCCTATGGTGGAAGCGGTGGAAGCAGTCGTTACGATGACTATGGCAGCAGCTCCAGGGATGGCTATGGCAGTCGTGACAGTTACCCCAGCAGCCGGAGTGACCCGTACCCTCCGAGCCGTGGAGAGAGAATGGGTAGGCAGGAAAGGGGCCCGGCCCCCCCTGGCGAGAGAGGCTACCCTCCTCGTGACTCGTATGGCTCAAGTCGTGGAGGGCCTCGCGGTGGCCGTGGTGGCGGTCGGCCTGATAGAGGAATGGTTCGCAGCAGATACTAAAATGGACTTGGAAGTCTCATTAATGCAAACTTTGATCTTCATACACTTGACACATGTTTTGGAAGAAATCTGATGAATACAAACAGACAAAATGTGTCTTAACTCTGTGACTTAGGAAGCTTAGCTTTGTATCTTTTACTTTCCCCGTTTTATGTGTATTTTTTTTTCCATTTTTTATATATAGTATTTCTTTACCTATGTCACAGTGTAGTTATTAAGTGTTTTTGTCAGTTCAGTGTGAATTGAATCTGCAATGCCCTAAATATGGCTTTCATACGCTAATAAAACTTTTAGTTGAAACTCTACATCTGCTCATCGATTTTTCACCTCAACATTTCTGACAAATGTGGGGAAAAGTGTCGACACGTCTCCTTTGCAAAGTTCTGTAATCATAGGTGAGTCTGTTCGCACATATGATGGAGTGGAATGAAATATTAAAGAAATGTGCTTCCAACTGGACACTACTGTTTGCCAGATGAGGAAATGTTACTGTCAAAATGTTCCAATGTAGTTCCCCTTGGAAATGGATCCTTCACCCTAGAGCAATTTGATGACATGCAACGACAAAACCAAAGGCAACAAGCAAACACAACTCGACCGATAGTCATCAGCTGGTAAGCAAAGCAAACCTTTGTTTCTCACCTGTAAATGAGTTTCTCATTGTCCTGTATTACAATCTTCACTCCAGACAACTTTTGCCTCAGGAGACACTGCAAGAAGGAGGTCAACTGCAATAAGCGCTTTTAATTGTTTTATATGGTAATTTTTTAAAAAGCAACAAACCATGAGGATTCCGTCCTTTTGATCAACAAGATTGACAATCTGAGCCCTCGAAACAACATTTTGCTCAACGAGTTGTGCAGTTTCAAAGAATTGGCATCAGTATTCTTTTTTGACATTAAGCGACATCTAGTAAAAAAAACTTTGTCCTACTAAAAACCAAGCAGGCATAAATTCTGTTCAGTAACCAAACCTCTTCTACAAGCATGCCCAAAAAAAACTGGAGACCTGTGGAGAAACGCCATCAACCCAGCAGCCAAACTGGAGGAAAAAAAAAAAAAACATACGGAGAAACTTGAAGTTGGATTGAGAACTACAATATCTTTATATTTTGTTTTTCAATACACACTTAAGACAAGAGCAATGTTAATTGTTTTTCTCTGTTGCAGGATGAACATCAAAGCAATGGCTGCTGAAATATACCAGAGTTCTGTCCTCCAGTTGTTGGGCTGATTTAACCAGATCGTCTTTAATCGACCTTGGTATGTCCAGCACATGACAACAGCTGCTTGATCAAATGTTACATTAGCATGTAAAATTGTAGCTTGTGGAATACATAGGCCAACATTTTTTTGCACCCCAGTCATATACAATATCAATGTTGCACACTAATATTATAACAATATGTCGTGCTGCCTTACTCTCTCTGGAGCCCAGACAGTATAAACTCATTTATCCATTTTAAATTGTTCCTGATTTGTAAGATCAGCTGAAACTTGCTGTCGTTCTATAGATCTAACTTTTAGCTTGACTTAATCTTTTATTCATTGCTTTTCAGGTGCTGTTGCAGGGGTTTGGCTGAAACTGTTCGACTGGAAAAACCTGTTGGAAGTGGGAAGAGTCCAGACTGAGGACTTGGTTAAATTTGATATTTGTTGTGTTTTAAATAAAGTCTTTAAAATCAGTTTGTCCTTTTTGTCTCGGTACAACAACTGGGAAAGATATTCAGTAAAGCAGTTGATGTGTAATATTTCTGAAAGTAGCAAATCAGAATTTTTTTTTTTCCAGCCTTTTTGAAGTGATGCTAATCTTTGATCAAGAAATAATTGATAAGATTAACTTAAAAATTATTGTGTGCTCTAAAAGTTTAACACCTTGAAAATGTATTCATACTCAAACTTTTTCCTTTTCTGTCGCAAACGATTTTGTCCGTTAGACCAGCACAAAGTAGCACATAATTGTGAAGTTGAAGGAAGCGTAACCACAACCATGGCCTGCATTTTTGTTCGACCTCAATGGTCATTTGGAAAATTATCTTTCTTTGCACTTACTGCTGCAGGTTTTTTGGGCCTGGTCTATAACAGATTGGCATAATGAGACTGAATTTTTTTGCCCATCCCTGAATTCCAGTCTTAACACAAATTCTAAATAAGTTCAGGTCCGGGCTTTGACTGGACCATTTTAATTTTGCTAAATTACTTTCTCAGTCTGCTGTGTTCTGCAGGAGGCTGTTAATAAATATTTTATATAGTTTTTCTTTTCTTCCAGCTGTTTTGTTTTGCTCTATTGCTCTATTCTGCACTTTGGCTGAGCAGAGTCTTAAATGTGTTTTTCAGATAAATTGCATTAGGGAGTAAACATTGAAAACATAACTTGAGAAATTACATGCAGGTGAGATAAATATACAAGTCAGCTGATTTCTGAAAGCAGTTGGGCTTTGTTTAGGCCTATTAATGTAAAAATAAATCTTCCAATCCAAACTCAAATAATTAAACTTTGAAGGACAGTGAAAAAATGTGAATTTCACATTTGAAAGTTTCCTATATCAGTTGCAAAACACCCCGTCAGTCTTGTTGCAGATCTGCTTCTCTTTTTTTTCCCCTCATGCAAAAATATGCTGATGCATCTGCGATATCAGTTACTTTCCTTATTTTCTGAGCCTCGCTTCATTTGCACTTGATACCATCTGCTCTCTCACAACATGTGCTGCTTTGCAGGGGGAAATCCAGCACCCTGTGTATTGTTGAGGTGCCTGTTTGCCAGTAGGGGTGATCATCAGTTTTGCGTGTAGTAACTGCGTCGACCGACCAACCTCCCCCTCACCCCTCCTCTCTTTCTCGAGCAGAAGTGCGGATGTGAGTTGCATATTGATACGGAACAGGCCGCCACTTTTCTGTTTTAGCAATGCGGGCTTAGGCGATGATCATTTTGTGGAAGCATGAATCCCGAGGAGCAGACGGTAACGTGGTTGATATCGTTAGGAGTGCTCAGCTCGCCCAAAAAGAACATAGCGGACCCGGAGGAGTTTCTGAAAACATCACTCAAGGATGGGGTCGTCCTGTGCAAGCTCACGGAGAGACTCATACCTGGCTTCACACCCAAGGTGAGCCGCTGATTTATTAAGTAAACAAACGTCAAACGATCGACTGATCTCGGTGGAAAGAAGGGAGGGGTTTGATGAAAGTGATACCGACAGGAACTTGTGTCTGCAGCCCTGGCCTTGCATTCTCTACCCGAGCTGTAAGTTTTGACAGCTGAACGCTTTTCTATTACTTCTACAGGGAGTGCTGCGTTGGATTAAAGTCGGTTTTCTGTGAGTTTACAGTCTAGAGATTCCAATAAGTGATTTCCTGTGGGGGGGAAAAATGTTCCGCATTCTTGATATGACTGAGTAGGTCAGTGTGAACACCTACTAAAACAAGACTAATCTTGCCTAGGAGTGCCCCAAATAGTTCACACTTTCAAGAGTTATACCTGGAGAATTCATCAGAGCAATAACAGCTTGACTTTTTAATGCGATTAAAGTGATTTTGTATGTTAAATGTGGAGGTAACAAAGTTGATCATGATAACAGTTGCAAATTCAGGTCGTCACTTCCTCTTGAGCGGCTGCTCTTCCCGGTGTTGCGTCTCGATGCGTTTCCCCACCACTTCTGCCCTGCTGTCAAGCTGTTGCGCGTCTATACTGGGTTTTACGGTGGAGAATATGGCGCGTTCAAGTACACACTGTACACGAGGTCATCTATGTTGAAGAAGCTGTGAAATCTTCAAATCATATTTAAATGTTTATTAACGCCTTCCCTCTCAACACTTCGCATTTTAAAGATGTTGTACCTTTAAACACTGGTTTCATTAAATTATCTCGGTAAAGCTGGTTTCCTTTGATCAATTAAATGCAATAGAAACTAAAATTATAAAATTTTAACACGATCTTGATTAAAAGCAAGTAAGTCATTTGTTTAAATTGTTAGGATATTTAATACAGAATACTTAATGAATCTGTAGGTGAATTTCAGAGTAGATTGGAAAATTGCTTTTGCTCATTTTGTGCATTAAGGCACTGATTGCCTCACTGTATTTAAATATAAGACGTTTTTTTAGACCCATGCACAATGCTGTACAAGCCAGTTGTAGCCCATAGTTTGTTTTTATACCATAATAAAGCATAAAAAGCACACCTATTAAATATAAAATTCACAATTAAAGACTGCAAATAATTATTCGAAGAGTAGCTTCTTTTTTATAAAGTTCATTTATTAGAATATCTGGCTTCAACTGCATTCCTCAGTTGCGTCAAAAGACATTAATGTTACGAGTAAATCAAAGTGAATTAGGCTTAGTGTTTAATTACTGTTTAATAAGACCATTGTGATATTTGAGCTTTAAATAGTCATTATCAATACCCACACTGTTTTTTTATTTCGGTGTTAATACTGTAGCGTACCACGACACCTGAATGCACCACGTCGGCCGTAAAACGCTATTTAAAGGCGGGCAGCGCAACTCGACGGCTTGATGAGACGCTGCTGCGACCTCCTCTTTGAAAAGTACGAAACAGAATGCAACCGGAAGTGGCAGCTTCTCTTTTCTTACGATCTATTTTGGTTTATCTTCATGTTACTCCTAGAGCCACCGCGTTTGCGTTGTAGGTACGTTGTTGTTAAGAGAGGCCTTTATTTTGAAAGTCCTCAAAGTGAGCGGATGTTTTGCCTGAATGTGGCTTCTGTCGCGTTTCAGCGGCTTATGACGGCACGGCGGAGATTCATCAGCCATTCAGTAATGTTTGAAAGGCGCAACATTTGGATTGGGTCTACAGTTTTGCGTTGTTTTGTTTCTTCAAAGTGACACTAAATCTGAAGCTCTGACTGGCTTCAGGAGCCAATGTGTGTCATATCCCCGCTGGGATCACTAAGCCGAGGTGTGGGTTTATAAATTTATTTTCTTTGCTCAGTATTCCCAGGATCCAAGAACTGAAGCTGACTGCATCACCAACATCAAGGAGTTTTTAAGAGGATGCTCGTCGCTGAAAGTGGAGGTAAGTTGCCTCTTTTCATGATCATTTTCTGTCGGCAGAGTTTTATTCCGTCCCCACAGTCTGCAGCAGGTCAAAGGGAAAATCTTTGATCACAATCTTTCTTGTGTTGTGATCTGCTTATTAGGTTAGACCTCATGTTTACTGTGGATTAGGGGAAATGGAAATTTACTTCAAATTAATTTACTTCAAATAGCAATAATTCACTTCCTTGTAAACTTACCTTCTCTTTTACATTCTTATGTAAATTAACAAATATAAAAATAAATGTTTAATGTCACATGTTAGAAAGAGGGAAGTGACCTTGACATTACTATATGCACAAACGTATGACGTGATCTAAATGTCTTTATTATGCAGAAAAAAGTTATTCTTGCTGCCAGCAAAATATTTATTGCTATTGATTCCTGCAGTCATAACAATATTGTTCTATATCTAAAATTATTTTGGTTGAAATAATAAGTTCAGTGGTATTTTTCAAATACTTTTTAGAATTATAGAAAGAATAACTCAAATAGCATTGGATTGATAAAAGATATGTTAACCTATGATTACAATCTAACAGTCATATCTTCTCTGCTGAAATTGTGTCACTGATTTATAATGATTAAAATATGGATTATGGATAATATCTACTATTTTTTCTCATTATTTTTATTTATTGACTTCAGCAAATCCCTTCTCAATTTAATAGTAATTTAAAATAAACATTCTTGTTACAAAGTTGGTATATATAGTAAACTGATAGGTCATTATGTAAGCATGCTATCTGTTCTGTGGGACATTTTAATGTACAACTGTAGACCTTTACAGTGTTAAGTAAATAGGTTGATTAGTGGCGCTCCTCCAATCTCCACAAAATTACCTTGTTTTTCACAATCAGAAGTATTTCAAAACAAACTGATTTTATTTTTTGTAAGCAAATAAAAGCACGTAGTTGTAGTCTTGCATTCATGTTGAGCAGAAGTGCTCAGCAACGGGTGGGGGAGGGGAGTGACGCGCTACTCTATGCTCCATACAGTGGGGAGAAAAGGTCTCTGAGCCTTTTTCTTGTGGGATTTAAATCATAGGAATGGTATTAAGTACTTTCTTTTTAATTTTGGAAAGTAACATTTTTTAAAAATATGTAATTTAACGTTAAATTTTAAGGTTAAAATTGAATTAACCTTGATAACAGTAAGGTTATCAAGATGTCAATATTGTGTCGATATTTTCTTATTTATTTTTTGGTTTGTATGTTCAGTTGTAATATAAACCGTATCATCTTCATAAGAGTGATTCATGTTCCTACTTTAGTTTCTGTGATCATGACCCTACCATGCGTTATTACAGCTTGTAATGTTTTTTAGCAACAACAACAAAAAAAAACTATATCAACAAGTGACGTAGCATTAAACACTAACGTTTATTAGACAACTAATCACAAACCAACTGGGAGTTTTTCCTTCATGCAAGAGCGTCTTTCTCAATTCCAGCCAGTTCTACACCGTTCCAGAACAGCGGACATTAATGTCTCTCCCAGTCTGTTATAAATAATCTGTTGTGGTTGTGAAACACATCACTCGCTCTGTTTAAGCAGCGATTTGAGTCAGCAAGCTTGGCTCCCTTTAGTGGTTCAGTAGTCCTGCCCAGCTGGCTTGTTATGTCTGGGAGGTCCTCTTTGCTTTTTATCCACCAGCTCTGGTTTAGCCCATAATTAGACGTTCTGCGAGCAGCCACTAGGTCACTGGCAGAAGGTTTCTGAGAGGCTCTGTCAAACCTATCAGCCTGTTGATGTCTTAAGTGGCTACTACAAACCTGGCCCTTCCCTCAGCGATTATGGCATTTTCTTTTTGCCTTTTGCTCTGATACATAAATAATGCCTGGCTGTCCAGTGCCTAGATGAAGAAAGCTGGGTTACTGCTTTCACTTCTGCTTGCAGATGACAAGGAGGAAGAACCAATTACCGTTCATGGCCTGTGATTTTTTTTTTACATTTTTTATCACTGTTGTGAAATGTAGAAGATGTGTTTGCCCTTTGTTCATACATTGCAACTGCCATTTAGTGCAACAACTATTACAACTCAGGTCAAAATCTTACAACTAGCACACTTAAATTCATGCTGAAAACCTACATGACTGACTCATGTACTGCAATAACTCCATCATTACCAGAAACCAGTGACCAGAAACAAAGAACACAGTCCATATTGTTGCTTATTTTCATTTTATTCAAAACAATCATACAGAAGTTTTTCTCTCTGTGGATATCATACCTGAACACAAAAAAACGCAACTAAATACAACTCCTGAATCTGCTGTTACAGTGCCCAGCCTCTATATTTAAGATGTTTTATTTAAAATGTGAAACTTTATCCACTGGAGGAAAGACGATAGCTGTCTGAGTTGGACTAACCTGGCACTGTGAGTGCAGGGAAGTGGAAAGAGAATTGCAAATGAGTGTTTCTCTGTTTGTTTTATTGCAAAAAGGGGTCAGGTTCAAAATATCTGTGGTCATCTTTGCCTTATAATCACTTTATGCATGCTGCTTTAGTGTAGGTCTCCTTCTTTTGCTTGTGTTGCATGGAAGAATAAGAGTCTTGTTAGTGTGAATCACAAAAGCAACAAAAATCACTTTTCTCTGTAAAGGAGCTAATTTTGACCTACTCTTTAGCTATGTTTCTGCCACAGGACCTTTTCCAGGAACCTAGGGTAGGCTTTCAGGGCCATAATTACCCACCCTCGGTTTCCACCAGATCTACCATGATAAAAATACGTTTTTAATATGAAAATGTTCTCTGAAAACCCGGGAGGGGTGTTACGCGAAACACGCAACACTGACTTTTTAGCACTTTATACCACAATGTATGTGATTCCTTCACCAAACACATCTCCGGAGTGTTAGTGGATTGCATGAAACATTCACGCTTGTTTGACAATTCTTGAATCTCCCATGGGAACCATCAGGTGTTGCTTTAACGCCTGCTCATACAATGCACCATCTTTTGTTTCCAGTTCTAGTTAGCGTTCCAATAATTGGGTTGTTGCTCCTAATTTTCCTTCTTCCATCTAGAAGTCGTGAGACAGAGATGTGACGCAATATCCAGATCTAAACTCAGATTACATAAATCTTAATGCAATATTTTAAGACTTTAAATTTGAATTAGGCCACACAGTTTTAAGGAAATATAAACTGGGAGATAATTGAAACAAAATGATGGTATTATTCAGCCAGTAGATGATGCTTAGCTATTATGGTTGTTTTCTGGGCTAGAGCTATATTATCGTAATCTTACAAATTAAAATTCAACCCTTTGGAGTTGAATTTTAACTTGTTGGAACACCGTGCTGTGGTCCCAGTCGGTAGAATTCTGGAAGCTATGCGCTCAGTGTGAACTGACTGAAACATGCTTTATGCTTAGGTTTATATGATCCCAGTTTATTTTTTGTCTGACTGTATTTTCTCTGTTTCTTTTCCGTCCAGGGGTTTGAACCAGAGTGGTTATACACTGGAGAGAATTTTGGCAAGGTCCTGAATACGCTGCTGGCATTCAACTTTGCCACGCAAGGTAACAGTTCTCATCTTTTTCTTTGCTGCGGCTCAGTGTGCTTGTCCAAGCAAAAGTTCAACACTCTTAGATTTTTGTCTCTAATGGCAGCAAAAAGAGAAACAAAACATTAGGCATTGCGACATTTATTTAGTTTTTATCTAATAGCAAATGATTTATTAGAACTTTTATTGCACCCAATTGTTTTAAGGAATGAGAAGCTGTTCACTCTATTGTATAACTCCATGTCAGCAGTTTGAATGGGATTCTTCTGCCTGTAATAAATAATAAAGAACCTATGATATTTTTAGATTTATGATAAGAAGTCTCCATTTCTGTCTTAGGCTTCCTAAATTTGTCTGTTTTGCCATTGGAGGTCTAGATCACTTTTATTTAATGCTCAAAAACAAGACTTATTTATACTAATTCTTTACCATCAATAAAGGATTATAGATACTAAACTGTCATTGTGATTATGACAGTTATGATAATGTTTAGTCAGCATATTCATTGTGTTTTTGTTTGAGTCGATGTATGAAAGTCAAAACGTAAACTTTGCCTATATTTAATTGTTTTAAAGCACTTCTGCCACGAAGTATTATTATCTAGGTTAACATTGTCAGTATACCAAGCTCATGTTTTTGGTTAATTAGGTGAGCTGTCAGCTAATTTAGGTAGTCAGTCTGTATTTTTGGGTTTCTCTTATGAGAGTGATGGATTGTCCAGTATTTTCCACTCAGTTCATCTCTACATTTACAAAACCTGAACTTTTATTTATGGTAAAACAATAAATAAACGCCCCCCCCCAAAAAAATCTATGGAATCCTTCTTCCAGTAAGATGACTGAGAGTATGCAGCAACAGGTTTGGGAGGGGCAGCAGTGTTTGACTCTGTTCTCTATGCAGTCAGAGAAAACGGGTGATTTGAAACCGTAAATTTCACATACTTCAGCATAACTTTATGCATTAATTAGCCCATGCTAGACATAAGTATAACAAATTAAGGAATTGTAAATTATTATTATAATCTGGGAATCGCAGAATAAGTTTATTTTTTGGTCAATGAGCAAAAAAACAACATTAGTAAAAGAGTTGACACAACACTGAGGGTTTTGGCTACATGTCTCTCTGGGTTACAGATGGGCAGCTTGCATGGCAGTGTGTGCTTGTGTCATGCTGTGTGCCATTTTTATTTGTGCTTTAATACACCTCAGACAGTATCCTGTGACCTCATGTGTGTAATATTGTAATAAATGTGGTACGAAGATGAAAATACTGTTGGAATTTGAAACGCTAGACAAATCCTGGACTAACTGCTTCATTGAGGAGTCTTTGTTTGGAGTCTGTCAGATGAAAGTAATACATTAAACCATCTTTTTTTTTCTTTTGTACAATTCATTGCTTAAAAAACTGCAATCATTTTCATTAAATAAATGCATCAATGATCCATACAGCATTTAGATTTTTGTAAAAGGTAAATAAAGATCAATAACATATGTGTGCAGTATTTTTTAAAGTTGATTCAAATGTTCGCCCTTGATGAATTGAATGAAAAAATGACTGTGCTACAATGTGAGGAGTTGAAACTTCATTTTACTCTGGTTCTCTAGGGAATAAAAAGGTTTGACTTTCTTTGGTCGGGAAGTTCACCAATCGCACTTTTGTATGTGATATCAATTTTTCTTTTTCTTTGAAGTCTGACCAGTTCTGACCAATTCTGGTCATTGTCTCTTCTAAAAGTGAAAAGAAGAGTCTATCCCTTAAGCTTTTATGTGAATTTTATTGAACTGAAACAAGTGCATTTGTAGACCAAAAATGTTGGGAGCTCTAAATTTTGATTTGGGGAAAAGAATCAAATATTAAGTGTTTGTGCTGCAGATTAATTCTGAATCACATCTATGGCTGACTGATTAGTGCATCTTGTGATTGATTAAATATTAATTATTGCAATTTAACGTGAGATCATTGGTATTTAGCATCCTTACGTGTTTCTTGTTTTGTTTCTTGAGTCCTCTGTATGTAAAAAAGTGGCGACCACTGAACAGACGGGGTTGTTCGGCTTCGCTGTGCAGACGGGTTCACATATGGGATTTATGAGTCCCACCTGTCACTGCCTTCAGCGTCTGTTTTTAATGATAACAATCATTTTTAAGTATAATGTATGCCACCATATGGGAAGCAGAGCCTCTCTTGCTTTTTCCCAAATCATATCAGAGTGGCATGAATTCAAAATGATATGCTGATGAAACAGGATTACACAAAATATTGCTGTTTTACTGCCAGTAAAAGAGAAAGTTCCCCTAATGTTTATGTCCTTGCACCTTTAATGTTTATTTGATCCGATTTTAGGTTTGAAAGGTTAATTGTGCGTCATATTCCTTTCTCATCCTTTGTAATTTGAAAAAGCAAGAAACTTGGCTAGCTTTCAGTTGGCATAGAATGAGTTCCCTTCTGTGAGTTCTTCTGCTTGCGAGCCTGTGTCTGTTTTATTCCAAATAAAGCCGGTAGAAAGGTTACTGCTCCTGGCAGAACTGCTCTCATGCTGCAGGGCAGCTGATATCTACCGACTTTAAATCAAAGTTCCTCTGCAGCAGTGGCTGACTTATGACACAGTGCTAGAGCTGACATAAATCTGATTTAGATTTGTTTTTCTCCATGGCTCTGCCTGTGCAATAAAATTGCTATCAGACATGCACAGCTTTGGAGAAAATATGATCAGAGAGCAACATGCATCCTGCACAAGCGATCTCTGATGTTGTTTATTTGAAGGCTGCTCTTTGTTTAGCTGCTTGTTTATTCCAGGCTTGTAATGTCAGTTTTGGTTAAATCCGATTATCCTGTGAGTAATCATAAATTTGTAGGCTTTGTTTGTTCGCTGCCTTGGAGCGGTGCAGAGCAGCAGAGCGTTATTAATATGAATCATCTTCAGGTTGTCATCCTCCACAGTGGTAGTGTACCTGCATGACGTGTTTGTGTACCTTTTCCAGGTGAGAGCACTGAAATGTAACCTTAATTTGAGGCTTCCTGTTTTGTCCGTGTTTGTGCGTAGATTGTGCTGCGGAGCGATGTCCTCAGTCCGGTTCGTCCTCTCCTAATCAGACGACGTCTTCACACGCGCTGTCTTCCACCAGATCCAAAGGGTCTCTGCGCAGACAATCTAAATCAGTGGTACGATTTCTCTTTATGTTCAGCTGTATTTTATATTTTGAATGCTGAAACACATGCTGTACTGTGACACTGCTGCTAACACTGTTGCCTTGCAACAAGATGAAAGTCTTTCAGCAAGGAGTTTGCATGTTCTCCCTGTACATATATGGGTTTTCTCCAGGTCCTCCTCGCTCCTCTCAAAGTCCAAAAACATGACTGCTGGGTCAATTAGTTTCTCTAAATCGTCCATGTGAATGAGTGTGGGAATAAATGATGGATAGGTGAAATGCTTAAATATGTTTTAGAAGTTTTTTTAAGCCAATTCGTTGAAAATGCTAAAATATATTCTGAGATGGCTTTGCAATTCCTTTGTATGAAGAAATAATCTCCTAAATAAAGTTCAGGGGAAAGGCAGTCATAAATAGACAATCTAGATAAAATCTATATTTTATGTATCAACCAGTATCTGCTTTTTCAGGATGGTAAGAGACTAAATAAATGTGACCTACTTACCTTGATGAGAATAACTCATTTTATTTTGACAAATTTTAATAATAAATTGAGCTGCCACAATATCACTTAAATTAATGAAAAGAGTTTTAGCGTTGCATTCAAGACAACTTAGCCTGCTTAATGTTCAATAAACATACTAACTTTTTCATGTTTCTATTCCAGTCTGATTCATATTCTTTGTTGGAAGCTTTTAAGATGGTGTAGTTGTTCTACTGGACATCTTTTTATTTCAGATGTCATAGGGAAATAAAGACATTGTTTGTTGACTGATTTTAACTTGTCACTAATGAGCGGATTGGTCTCAACTTGCTTTGATAAACTTTTTAAGCACAACATCCCCTAACACCTTTGCACTTGTGATTAACTGCATTGAGACAGACTATACTTAGGTTTGTTCTGCGTTTACTAAATCAAATGTGATCTTTGGATTTAGTTTATTGCAAGCCCAACTCAGACTTGGCGCAACCATTATTTATCCTGGCTGTCTGTGCAAAGTAAACAGCTTTAAATATGACCAGCATTAAAATTTATGACTGTTTGAAATCTTTAATCCACTCTTCATGCAAAGCATGTGACAGGGAGATGTTAACAAGAAGCAGACTGCCACCTAACAGTGTTTCAGGAAAATCACTAACAAATTCAGAATATTATCACCGTTGATAAGACATCAGTGAAGAAAAGAGATTAAAATCAAAGGGAGCTCAGTATGGATGTGAAGACACAGAGGAAAACATAAGAGGTTGTTTAATTTGGGAAGCACACACCTTTATCTGTATACTGCATGTTATGATAGAGTAATCAAAAGGTAATTAAAAAAATAAACTACAGAGAAAGCGCATCAGGAATGAAGTTTATTTACCAATTTAATTGCACTTAGTTTTTAAACTTTTATTAAGAAAATATGATTGTTTTTTTTTTTTTTTTTTTTTCATTTTTGGACAATGTGGAATTTGTTGTCACGTAATTTATGTTTACTGAGTGTTACTAGCCCATCACTTTTGGGGTTCAGATTAGAACGTAACCAATCAGTCCATAAGAGGTCAGAATCTGCAAAGTTCACTTTGGTTAGTGAAAGCTCTACATAACTTTTTTTAATCTAGTAAACGTCTACTTGTGAAAATATAAGCGTTATTACCGTTGATATCTCACCAGTGTGTTACTGTGTGCAGATATAAATCTCTACTGAAGTTGTGGAAACACTGGTTTTGGAATTGACCCAGCTGTTCAAACAGGAAATGTCTGAAAACGGCGGCGGCGGCGGGCAGGTGATGGTGAAGGCCCGCTTCAACTTCAAGCAGAACAACGAGGACGAGCTGTCCTTCAGCAAAGGTGAAATGATCATCGTCACGCGGCAGGAGGACGGTGGATGGTGGGAGGGGACGCTCAATGGCAAGACGGGCTGGTTCCCGAGCAACTACGTTCGAGAGATCAAACCATGCGGTGAGTCTGGTTTCCTTTTTCTGATAATAATCCCGCCTTTCAACTTTGATCATATTTGTCTGAAAATGTTGAATTTTATGTATTTGATGGACTCTTTTAATCCAAAAAAGTAACTTTAGTAGAATTGGATAGTTTTCACTTTTGTTTATATGACTTGACTGAGAATAATTTAATGGCATAATTGAAGTTAGAAATGATAGTGTTGTAGTGTTTTTTTGGTAAATAACACCTTCTAGAGAACTTATTGTCTCTGAATCCCTCCTCAGAAAAACCATTATCTCCTAAAGGAACTCCTCTGACCAAGAACTACTTCAGTGTGGTGAGTTTCTATCAAATGTTATTTAAAAAATGGATATTATGGTGTAAAATAGATTATCTGTTCCTACTTATATTGGCTAAAATCACACGTGGTGTATCAGCATTTTGAAGGACGTTTGTTTAAATTTCAGACATTTAATTTTGTGTCCTGCTTACTGTTGAAAGAAGAATAAACATCATGGTGAAATCAAAACCTACAAATAGCAGCTTATCTCACTGTTAAAGAACTTAAAGAGGTCTCAGAAGAATTTTAAATCAGTTGTTATGCTGTACAAAAACTAATCTATGAGTGAAAAACAATTAAAATAACTGTAAACTTGCCCAAATTGGGTCATCCAAGCAAGTTTACCTTGACAGCAGATAGCAAGTCGCTAAAAGAAACATCTGGAAATCCTAAAATTTCATTATGGGACCGACAGCAAACTGTACAGATTAAAGTTCAATGAGAGCTGTGCAAGGAGGAAACATTTGCTATTTGATCAAAACATAATGGCCTGACTCAAGTTTGCCCAAGCAAGTGTAGACAAAGAATTGGGATTCTGGAAAATATGTTTTTGGACATATGAGGCTGTAATTCAATTATTAGGACTCGTGAACAAAGGAAATGCAACCTTTTAGAAAAAGACCATTGTGATAAAAGTGTCATGGTTTGGGCCTGGACCTACTGCAGGTGCTACCAACACGTTTCCTAAATTTAGTTTTTGTTTAATGAGTAAAAAAGGATTAACCTTTGATTTTTAGTTGGGGGTTTTTTCAGAAAAAAATAATTAAATAAATTAACATTCTAACAAAATAAGTTGCACATAAATGGATAAAGAATTCATAGTTGCCACAAGTTGGCCATTATTTTAAGTTATTTTGAGAACATGGAAGGTTTTTATAAGATCAGATTATTTGAAATATTCTCTCTTGTTTTGTTTTTCACAGGTGGTTCAGGACATCTTGGAGCATGAGCGGGAGTTTGTTAAAGAGTTGCAAACTGTGCTCACTTGTTACCTCCGACCCCTGCAAGCTAGCGACAAGTAAGAACAAAACAATGATCCGGGTCATACTGGCTCGTAGACTAGAAGTCTGAATTTTGACCTATCCTTTTGGGTAATTGAAAAAAAAACAACTTATATTGGTATTTCTCACAAATAAAGTCATGGTCAAGGTTTGTACACTGTCTTTCACTTTCAGTTTTTAAGTATAAAAATGAGTGAAGTCCTACTTTAGATAAATAGCAGGTCATGCCATTTCTGTTTCTTTCTGTTATTTAACTAAGATGTTGGTTTTGAGGAAATTTAGAGTATAAATTTATTTAGCATGAGTTGGCTCCTCTGTGAAAGCAGAAGTTGTGCCAGTTTTTGGTCTGAGTTTTGAGGTGTGTTTTAATATATTGCCATGAAACAAAGACCTCAGCTATGACTTTGGAGGAGCAATAAAATAATTTGTTGCCCATCAATCTAAGGGGTATAAAGCAATCTTTGTCAACTAAAATTCATCATCCCTTAGTGAGAAAATTATTTACAAATGGAAACATTCTCCGTTGGCTCTCAATCTTGCAAAGCTAAGAGGGGCTGGAACAAACCCAAAGACCCCAGTTTGTGACTAGACCATTAAAGACAAAAGCAAGAGTTGGTAAACAGCCTCTTTTCTTTAAAATAATAATAGCAACAATGCTCCATTCTGGTAATTTAGCAAACCAGCAGTTTAGCAAAAAAAGTTACATTTGATATCAGTGAAGACTTTGTCATAAACAAAAAAACATTTCAGTGAGGAATACTTTATTTCTTTGCAACTGATTTCATTGGTTCAGTATTCACCAAAAATATTGTATGGTACTGCTTTCCTAATATCTTGCAGCAACAAACTAGATGTATCCAAATTAAGCATATTTTACTATCTGTCAGGCACAAAGGTGAAAGGCCGTGGAGAAACTGGGCCTTGGACCAGGACAATAACCTGAAGCACAAGACAATCTCATGTCAGGAAAAAAAACAAGACTCTAAAAAGAACTTCAATATCAATCTGGTTAAAATACTACGGTGTGACCTAAATATATTTGTGTAAAAAATAATCTACTGCTCACAAATATGTAAAAAAGTGAGCAAAGCTTGTCCATAAAAATGTGAGAGATTACAGAAAAACTGAAGTTGTTGCTCTTAAAGGTGATGTGATAAGCTGAATCATTGCATGCCATTTTTTCACACACCACTTCTCCATTTTAGTTCAGTAAAAAACAAAAAAACATGGTATGATATGTCACACGTTGTTATTCCTCTGAGGTTGAATCAATCTAATATTCCCAGAGAGAAACAAGTCATTTTTTTTCAGCATGTTCTAAAATATAAAACTTTAGAAGTGATTTAAACGTTACTACAATGATGGCGTTTGATGCAAAAGTTACCATAGTTTAGAACAGTCTGGATTAGTTTTCATTTTGTTTTCTAATATTTAACTTTCTTTAATAAGTCATATTTTAGAAAAGGCTGACTGTTCCTGTTTATTCTCACGCCTGCATGTTCAGGTTAAGTAGTGGAGACAGCGCCACCTTGTGTGGGAACCTGGAGGAGATCCTGTCCTTCCAACAGGGACTGTGTTTAGCTTTGGAGGACTGCACCAAGTAAGTCTTATCACTGATTTATCTCTTCAAACTGTGTTTGTGGAGTTTAGTAGACCAGAAGACTACAAATGCATGTGATCATTTCTTTTTATGTACATTTAGCACTGCAAAGTTCTGCAAAGCTTCCCACATGTACATTTTTGCAATCACTTCCTTTCCTCTAGACGCCTCTGGTTGTGCGTCTTTGTACAAGTGCCACCTTGCAAAGTGTATGAATGTGTCATATCACAGTTACTGTAATGTTAAACTTGTTTACATGAACATCTAAGTTTATATGAAATGCTCTTGGAGCATTTATTCACAGCTGAAATAACTGGTGCCAAAATAAGCTCTTAAAGTTGTTTTATTCCATGATAAATGTGTATTTTTAACACAGAATATTTCATTTTTATTTTTGTGTTAAATGTTAGTATTTAAATATGAAATTAACATTTAAAAAAACAGTTTAATGTTAAACTTTGAAACGGACGTCATAAATAATGACAAGAGGAAAGTTATTTTAAATGTTTTATGGCTTTCCACATTTACTAATTCAACCGGTCCTGTGTTTCTTCCTCTTTATATTTTAAACTCTTTCTCTGATTTTCCAGAGTTGCAGAGGGGCAACAGAGAGTGGCAGGATGCTATTTAAATCTCATGAGTCAGATCAAGAGTCTGTACCTGAATTACTGTTCGAGTCATCCATCAGCCGTCTGCATCCTTACTGATCACAGGTCAGTCCCTGCACACAAAAATAGCACAGTTAGTACTGTTAAAAAAGGATTGGTATTTAACTAGGTGTCTCTGGTTTTCATTTGTTCTTTCAATTTCATAAGTTGTCTAAGGAAAGAAGTAAGTCATGTTAGTCCTTTATCATTTCATAATAAAATTTACAATTAAAGCAGAACTTCTGTATCGAGGTCACTGTCGTATCATATGAAAGGTTAAATATTTCCAGATTTTCAATATCATGCTGTAAGTTAAGTCAGATATTTTTTTTGTATTTAAATTATTCATGCATACTGCTTTTTTAAGAATGTGAAATGTGTTTGTAACAATTATTTCTTCCACAAGTTTTAGCTCTGCCTGAGGAGAGGGAGTTTTGTTTTGATCTACTTAGAAAATATACGCGCAATAAACCTAATTTTATCCAATACATTCTGCCATCCCCACAAAACTGCAATAAAATTCTGCTCCAGTAAATGACTTGCTGTATATTTCAGCAATAATAATAAACACCTTGTTACATTATTTCTTACCAGCTCATTAGCTTTTGGAAATTAAAGCTTTGTTTACAAACCTACAAGTTTTTAAACCAGTTATAAGTCAAAACCGTATTTATTTCAGTTCATCTTCATAAGTATTTTGTAGCAGCAATCTCTGACCCATATTTTCCCAATCAAAATATCGGTGTCTGCTCAGCTACCCGCTGAACTCCTTACAGAAGCAGAGGTATTACTGACCAATATTTGGTTTCAAAAGAGACGATCAACAAAGTTTTCTATCTACTAGCTTAGCATACCACTGGCAGCGTCAGTCTGCAGTCAAGTGCGCTTCTTTTAAAGATAGCTTCACGGATACCTGGTGCATTACGGTAATAGAGTAGTGGGCGACCTTGCAGGTGAAAATTTTAAAAAACTAATGCAGGAAAAATGAGGAGCATAACTGCCAGGAGTGTGAACTTATTACAGACCTATTACTTCCACCTCCATATACTATATCCATATTGAATCTGTAGACGTTCCCTACAAAAGTAAATCAAAAACTTATATATTATTGCTTTTTATTAAGTGTTTTTTTTGTTTGTTTGATTTTGTATGAGTGAAATGAGAATTTTAGATACATAACGAGACACCTTCACATTTTTTTTCATATTGTCAGAACAATTTGACCAGCACTCACTGAGTGTCTGTAATCAGAACTGTGACAATAATAATAATAATAATAATAATAATAATGAAGGAACTGGGTTCTGGTCTAAGAAAGGAATTCAAATAATTGATTTTTTTTTCTTTTTTATTACATTGCAATCAGCATTATTTTGGAATAGGCCATCTATCAAAATAATCGAAAAAGAGTTTCTCGTCATCTCTTCAAAAAATATGAGAAACACATTCCTGGAAATGAGACTGTATGATTCATCTGTATTATGAGGTACATTGTATTTCTCCAAAACCGTACAGTAAAATTATTAAACATTTTTTCTGATCATAGTCCAGGTGACTCTTCTAGCATAATCTAAAGGTTTGTTGTTACCTCTGAGGATTTTGGAGAATTTGTCCCTCCCCATCTTCAAGTGCGACTACTTCTCTTAATTCACCATGTACACATGGGATACTACATTGCCTCTGATTTTCTCTAACTTTAATATTAGAGACTTTAGCATTATATTCAAAAAAGGTACAATTGCATAAATATAAAATGTTTCCATTATAAAAATTGATAAAGTAAGTTGCATCGAGGAACGTGATATGTCCAGTAAAACAGATTTTCAGTCTTCTTAGCCTGATCTTAAGCTTTACAATGTGAATTAAGAATAAGTAGATGTTAATAGTATCAACAATAATCTTTATTTGTAATGCACTTTACAATGATAAAAATCTAAGTGCTACAATCAATAAGACAAGTAAACATTGTACTGAACAGAAATGTCCTCCAAAACCTATTTAATTATGGAGATGAACAAAATATTCTTCTGCAGCGAACTTGAATAAGAAGATGCATAAAAACAACATATAGCTCAGTCAACTTAACACCTTAGAGTACCAAGATAGTATTTCAATTTAGTCTGAACACAAAGACAAACACTATCAACTCATAAACACCTGCAGGGACACCTTGGACTCTGAAAGCAGATATGAAACAGAATATTATAACATGGCTGGCCTACAAACTGGATCTTTGAAAATATATAGAAACCAGTAAGGATGAAACAAAGACAACTCGCTATACATCAGTAGCAAAACTGCAGTTTTAAAATAATCAATAAACATCCCATTTGTCCCCCTAATCCGCCTCCCCGATACAATCGCCCATTGACAGAAGAAAGAATATTTGCTATTGAGTATTTTACATTCTATTTCAACTCTGGACAGAAAAGAGAGATCAACTCAAAGACGGCATCTGAACTCTTGAATATCTTTCTACGTTATTTTTTTTTATTTTTTATTTTGCCATCGTCGTTTCTGGGGTCAGTCGTTCACAGTGATGTGAACGTAAAATAATCCATCACGGGTGTCCATATTGTAGCCGCTCCCGTACATTCTGCACTGCAAGCGAATCTCCTTGTTCCTGGTGAGGTTGGCGAACTTGACGCCCACCAGAGGCTGCAAGTAATTGGACTGCAGCCTTTTACCGTAGTAGGGGTAGTACTGCATAGGAAAACCGCCGATGCCCCCAAAGCCAAAGTACTTGACCTCTCCGACCAAGCCGTCATCTCGCTTCCACCTGTTCGTGCAGTGAACGGGGACGACGTTGTCCAAGGGTTTGCCTGACAGCTCATCTGGAAGCTTAACGCTCGAGGTAGGAGGTTTTGGTCTGTAATCGATGACTCTGTTGATCTTGAGTAGGAGGCACGGCTTTCCCTCCTTAAAGCCAAAGGTGTCGTCGGTTTCCCCGGAACATTCTTGAAGCACCTTTCTGCTGAAGCGGCAACTTTTTTTCTGTTTTGTTGTACCTTCGACTTCGCCGCGTTCGGTGTATGTCGTCGGGGTGGATCCACAATCCTCATATTTCAAGTCGTCAGTCTGTTTGTCATCCTGATATCGCTCAATAAACGCCTTCAAGCTCTTGACGTACTTCTCATATGAAATCGGGTTTTTCTGGCTGAAAACGATGTCAAAGTTGTGGGCATAGGGTTCGAATGACAGACCTGCGGGAAGAATTCGGTCCTGGTGTTTGGGTCTGTTGATTGGTAAAGTCTTCAGCAAGACGATAATGGTGCAGCTGAAAACCCCGATCAGGAACGCGTAGAAAAACACGTAGAACATGGATATTTTAAGCCAACTGTTCCCTGTTCGCCCACAAAACTCTCCCGTCTCTGAATTCCATATCTTTTCCATCCATTTGCCAGCCATGTTAGCTTCACAGAAATGTCCTCCCCGGTTTACGTTCTCTAAAGGCTTGACGGTTGGACAACGGTTCGACCGTTGACAGGCTGTTGCTGTTGTTTTATCTGTCTTTCACCAACAGTTTTAGGAGCTGAGGCTTCTTTTTTTCTTTTCTTTTTTTTCCCCAAGTGTCCTTCACCGGAAACACAAGCGGCCAGTTTATATCCGACTCCTCTGCGTACGCGTGAAGCTAACCGGAACTAGCTCCGTTCAAAAAGTACCACTTCCGGTCTAAAGAAACGTTTGTTTTTTTTTTTTTTTTCCAGTTTGACGAAAATTCCTTCCCGGTGAAATGAAACGCCATAATTTTCAGTTGAAACAATCAGAACATATTTGACTGTTTTATATCAAAGCTTTTCAATAGTTTATCTGAAACTTAATCATTAAGTGTTTCAATTTTTTTTTACATATCTTACTATGAGAAGCACACAATTACAAAGTTATTAAAAAAAGCCATACAATAATTGAACAATCATTTGATGAGTGCCATAGCCAAAATCAAGTAGGTTGGTCAATATTTAATTTGTTATGGTTCAGAAACAATTCTCAGCCGGTGGGTTTTTAGTCTTGAGTTATTAGTTAGGATGAGAACTTTTAACTGATCTTTGTGTGTCTTATATGTGTATCAATCAAGTTTATTTGTGTGCCACAAGTTCAAAGTGCTTTATGTCATAAAAACACAAAAATAAAGTCATTAAAAGTCACCATACTGTCAATAGTTGAGAAACCAATAAGAGACATTAAATTTTGATGAGTGCCCTTATCAAAAATCATTAATATACATCAAATATGTTGGTCAATATTCCATTTATTGTGGCTCAAAAGAAACAGGTGGATTTACAGTCTTGATTTAAAGCAGTTTTCTGGAAGTTTGTTCCAGAAGTTTGAAGTTTGGTTCTGGGGATGTAAAGCAGGCAAGAACCAGAAGACTTCACTGGTCTGTAAGGTTGATACAATAACTACATATCTTTATATATATTCATTTAAATTTCATGTATGTTTAAAAAAATATTTTGATTAGGTTTTTCAAATTTTGGGAATTTCACTTTCTTTTGTTTTGCAGTAGTCCTGCTTCTATCCAGAAGGTGTCAGTCTTTACATCTTTACATTCAAATGTCTCTTAACTTCCTCTGAGACATTACAGAACAGCTTTCTGTATAAACGTCTCTTTCTTGTCCCCTCATGGTAAAATGTTGTTTTTAGATTTAGTGTGTGTGTGTGTGTGTCAGTAAACGCTTCATAAAGGCAACATGATAAAAGAAATATGCTATGGTCCAGCCTTGATGAAATATTTAACATGGATGTGTCATATGAAGTTCTGCTTTGTGCTCACACACACAAACACTTGCTTACAAATGTTGAGTTACACAGGAAGTTGACTGTTGACAGGATATATAGAGTTGTGGTTATATTGAAAACCAGGTAGACCGGTTTTTTCACAGTAAGCACATTTGCTTTTCCTCTGCAAATGCCTTCATGTTCTGTTTTACTCATTGATTCAAATTGTTGAACCAATGAGTAACCAACTGAACACAGGATTATGTGTGACTCTCTTCTTTGGATCATGGAAACTCATTGATGTTGTTCCACTTGAAACACATAGGGAAGGTTGCAGGGAATTACACATAAGCCCCATGAAACAAATCCATGTCCTAATTTGCATCATGATTGTTCGTTGTGAGATTCTATTTTTTTCACTTGTATAATGTCATAACAATGAAGTATAGGTATTATTTGGAAGTCTCATTTACAGGGGGAGCTCATTTTAATTTGAGAGGGAAAGAATGTTGCAACATTTTGCTGAACTGTTTCATCATTTCAACAGTTTGGATTGTATTTCTTGTTGAATGCAGTATTTTAGTGAGACAAATGTTGTTATGATCAAATATTCAAACTGTTGCTGGGTATTGTTTTTCTGGATTAAGTAGGGTGTTTTCTGCAAAAATACTCATCAATATATATCTAATACTGACTAATAAGTAATAATTGTCTATACTTAGAAATTAGGTGTAATGCAAAAGAACAATTTATGTATGCATTTTCTATTAAAATTACTTTACCAGTGTAAAAATAAATACAATCTGTGATTTCTAAAGGATTCATCAATTAAATGTAAACCAAACAGTTCATTTGAATTTATTTGTTATTTATCTCTACTTTGTAGTTGTACATAAACAATAAAATGGTGTTCTTGTGTGTTCAATAGTGATGAACTGGGTAAGTTCATTGAGAGCCAGGGAGCAAGCACCTCAGGCATCCTGACCCTGACCACCAGCCTCAGTAAGCCCTTCATAAGGCTCGACAAATACCCAACACTGCTGCAGGAGCTGGAGAGACATGTGGAGGTACAGAAGAATGTATATCCAAATTATATGTCCAGTGTATTTGTGACTGAAAAAAAACCAAAAATATAACTCAAATCTTGAGTCACGCTATGCATTGGTTAGATGTTCTTTTAAAAGCTGCCAGGATTGACCTGATTTCTAACTCCTATCATTATTTGAAGTAAAACCATTTTCATTAGGGCTAAACATGGAAACATAGAAGAGAAATAGGCCTTTGTCACAGATCCTCCATTGTGCTACACAACAGTGAGTTTAGACTTTTCCACATTAAGTTTTATTTGTAAGTTGTTAAAATCTCAATTTAATTCTCATAAGGCCAAAGTAAATAGTTCCAGTTTATAGGTTGGACTTTTCCTGGATTTCCTTTCAAAGAAATGCTTGCTGGATGATGCCTTATGTTTATACAGATGTTTGTTTATTTACATCCTAGGAAGCTCATCCAGACTATGCGGACATCATAAAGGCAACAGCTGCTTTTAAGAGTCTTGTGGTAAGTCATTACTTAACCTTTCATTTATTGGCAGATCTCACTTTCATATATCCACCTCAAACCTCAGGCAGTATCTCATTCTGTCATGGTGGGTTTCATTAATCACAATATTTATCCTCTTTCGATGTTATGCTCTTAGTTCATTTCATTGATATTTAGGAAGAGTTTTGTTCCTAAATATGTCACGACGTGAAATGTTTGAATAAATTCTGGTCCAGACATCAATGTGTTTTGTATAATCTCAATAATAATAATCGTATAAAACGCATAACTTCCTCTCATCCTCCTCCTTCTTTTTTGTCACATTGTGAGACAAGTGACAGCAACGCATTGCAATGTAGTCCAGAGGGCAAGATTTTAATGAAAGTATCTGTTCCCTCTCTTTTCTACCTTGTGTTGAGTGATTACGTTGTTCCTACTGTAGGTGTGAAATGAAACGCCTTCATGAAAGAGCTGGATTAGAAACGAACGACCACATTGAACCTCAGTTAACAACAGTTTGAGGCACCATTTCCCCGGTGTGGCTCTGAGTTCCTTGTAAGAACCGAAGTGACTCACTCGTCTTTTCAACAGAGCTTCACAGGAAACTGGACCCAAAACAGAAAAAAAAACAGCATCAGACAACTCTAGCTTGTTTCATTTGCAAGTTAGATTTTTCTTTTGTGTCTTGAATGTGCGGTTGGGTGGGCAGGCGCTCAAGAAGATCTATGTAGAGCAGCGTTCACAGAATTGATGGAAAGTCAAAGATGTTGCATTGTCATTTTTTCTGTCTGATGAGGGAGAGTCCCTGTGTAGTACCTGAAAAAGTGAGCTTCTTCATACAGCGTACACATTTTAGCAAATTAATAAAAAGAAAAAAAACATCCCAGTTTTATTGTTCGAAGTAAAATTCAAGGTCAAATCATTGCTGCTAATTTCTCAAGAAACCTTTAGTGACTCAATAGAAAATTCTTAGAAAATACGTATCCTTTTAAGAATACCATCACTTTTTTAATGCAGTTGTTTGTGTGTTTAGTCCCAGTGTCAAGACCTGAGGAAGCGCAAGAACCTGGAGCTGCAGATCCTGTCAGAACCAGTGCGGGGCTGGGAGGGAGACAGCATGAAGAGCCTGGGACAAGTGGCCTATACGTCTCAGGTCCATGTGAGAAATGGGGTCAGTGAGGTAAGAGCAGAGTTTGGACTGGTGCAGTACGGAATGGTTACTTTGATATTTTTGCAAGAACTTTGTAATTTCTTTCATGCTGTTCGACTGTTCATATAAAATTTCTGTTCTATATTAAAAGATGAAACTTCAAAAATGTATAACATGCATCCTGTAAAAGGAACCTGGAAAAACAGACTAAGCAGATCTGTTCAGTTAAAATTTTTTTATAAAAATTAAAACGGTTCCTTGCTGCTGAAGTGTACACACCAACTCTTCGTTAGCAAACCGTAAAATCCTATTCTATGTTCCTTTCTTTGGTAGTACTCTATCAGCTATCTGTCACCTAACATTTGTGTACCCTAAAGTTAAGTCTCAAGAGGTATTAGAGTGTGAGGACAAGCATTTTTAAACCACTTAAAAATGTATATTTTCCTCTCATTAAGTCAATTTTTATTGACTTTAGTAAAAAAAAAAAAAAAAAAAAATTATGCCCACACCGGAAATTGTGGTCACCAGATCTTGTGTGCAGCAGATAGTATATGGTCTGTTAGGGATAAGAACAATGTTTAGGTGGCATTGTTTTGTTTAGGTCCACTTTATATTATATCCCTATTCAGATCCAGGAGATATTGACCAAAGTGAATATTGCTCAGTAGGTTTTTCCAGTGTCTGTGGATGCAATGCACAAAATTCTGTCCCACTTTGCTGCAACAGTAATTTATCCCACAAGTATCGCATAGAAACCTAAACAGGCCACACGCAGAGGGTAAGGCAAGCGCTGCTTTCTTGTGGGGTTTCTGTGTAGGGGGTCGACAGCCAGGCCGTGGTTGGAAGACAGCCCAATGCAGATATTTAGTTTCAGTCTCTTTTAGTCATGCCCAACCACTTTCCAACCACATTTGCTGGAATTAATTGTTTTGTTTTTTTGTGGTTTTCTCAACATGGTTGATTTCCCAAACGTGCAACACTTAACCATTCTGCCAATCGTGTACAAGCTAACAGAGAATAAGGTTTGCTAATTTGAGCAGAAGTTGTGGTTTTGCTTTGGCAGGTGAAGCCCTCATGTGCACAGTTCTGCCAAGCACCACACTAAGCTAGTCAGACGTTTCCTTCATAGTTCTGGGAAAGTCTGGAATTGTATTTGACCAATTTCCTGGCCAAATTATGAATAAACAAAAATTTTATTGAATTGTTTCTTGTCTTTGTTTATAATGAAATTACATTCTTATTCTTGGATTTAACCTTGATTCTGACATTTTGGTTTTTGACTTGCTGGTTGAATGCATCAGACTCATCCAAGATTTAAAAAAAATTATTTTGCTGCTTTTTGGACTTTGGACAACTTCAAATTCAGATTGCATTGGCTCTGTGGCCAATATACTGGGTCTGGTTATAATACTGAACAATGCAGATAAAGGTTCAATAAAAAAAATAAATAAAAAAAACACTTTTAAAGTATTGTCTTCTTTTAGAAATGTTTACAGATTAAATAAACATACAATAAAGCACATGCAAAAACATCTGCAAAATGATGTCAATCACCTTCTGAAAATTCGAAGCCAGTTTCTTACTGTGTTGTCTGGTGTTTTCTGGAACATACAAATAAAACTACTCATAAAGCAGTTAAATAAAATTAGATTTTCCTATATTTTAATGTCCAAAATCCTAGAATTGGAGTAATACAGAAGCTTCGAGTTAAAAAAAGACATGTAGAAATCCTTTACTTACCTTTCAGACACTCTTGTCTGAGCAACAAGAAGAAGAAAAAAAGTTTTTTGTCCTACGTGATGTCAATACGTCCAGCATGATGTCTTATTTGTCTTCCTTTCAGGAAAAAGAGGAGCGCTATCTTATGCTTTTCCCAAATGTCCTAGTTATGCTGTCTGCTAGTCCCCGGATGAGTGGCTTTATTTATCAGGTGAGACACAATGTACTTTGTATGTACTTTTATAAGAGTATACTGAGAAAATTCTATATTATTTTTAATGGAAATCAGAAAGCATTTTTTACGTGTAACTAAATCTGGATTTAGTTACACCGCCCATTGCTCTCAAAAGGGATCTCTTTAGGCAAACATATTTATGCATGTAGGTGCATTTTAATGCCATATGTTAAAATAATATGAGGTTTGATGGGAAATTTATTCAAAGTGTACATGTATTTTTTTCTCTGAGCTCGAAAACCTGCTAATCTCCCGTTAAATGATGCCATATTTGTATGAAAATGCACTTGCAGGCTGAACAGCAGAGTTAAGTAAGTGTATGTATGTGCATGTGTTACAAGTTTGACCTTGTCTGCAAATGCCTAGAGGCTTTCATTGGAGGCAGTGTGATGGTGTGGGGGCACGTCTTCCCCACTGACAAAAAACATTGTACCGATCACAATTTTTCTCACTTTTGATGCAACGTTCATATTTGTTTCCTTTTTCTCTGTGGCTTTTGTCCAATTCAGGGAAAGCTCTCGCTGACAGGCACCACAGTAACAAGACAAGTAGAAGATGGAGAAAGTTCTCCTCATGCATTTGACATCACAGGTTTGCATCTGACATACTGGGGAAAAATGTCTTCCTGACTTTGGGCTTCCAGCAACTATTTGGATAAATATGGAGTTGTTCTTATGACCAGATTTAAGTCCTACTCTAACTCTAAGCTAAATGGTGTCTGTGCTATAGCAGGAGCACAAAACAAAGCCTGCAACTCATCTTAAATTTGCTTATTTTATCTGTAACCTTGCAGCGATAATGGACTCGTCAACAGTTTGCAGCACTTTTTTGCAAGATTTGACTTTAATGTAATTTTGATTTAGTTTTCTACAACTTCTTTCCTGAAACACTGATAGTTTAATTAGTGAGGAGGAGAAAATCCAAGCGAAAGCAATCTACATTGTTGATTCACTCCTACACTTCCTAAATCCTCTATTTCTTTTTTCGATTGTGGTTGATTTTATCTGTCGGTCTAATTAGTTGTTTATGTCACGTCACACTTTCTCTGAAGGAACTCTGTTTTCCTAGTTTCTTTTGTTCTTTTTTTTTTTTTTGTAGGAGGCATGATCGATTGCTTTTCAGTGTACTGCAGCAGCGCTCAAGACTTGCAAGAGTGGCTGGAGCACCTGCAGCCTTACACCAAATCAGGAAGTCCTCCAAGCACCATTTCAAAGGTCAGGACTCCCACTCACACCGGCAGACACATTCACTATATTAAGTCAAAACAACACTCAGAGTGAACCTCACACCTTATTTAAAGTGTGAAACACCCTGCGTTAGTCCAAAGATGACGAGCACCAAACCACTTTGATAAATCTCATACGTCTGCTTTGACATTCGTCTGCAGACTGTAGATGGGAAGCCGCTGAGCACAGTCGGCACTCCCACACATCTTCCCCACCTGAGTGGCCCGAGCGCCGTCAGCCGGGGTCCCCTGGAGCCGCCAAAAACCAGCAAGCCGTGGACCCTCAGCTGCCTGCGTCCCGCTCCGCCTCTTAAGCCCTCTGCTGCGCTGGGCTACAAAGAGGTAGGAACCTGCAGAACTGCACAAACAAACCCACACCAGTTTCTCATAATCAGTCATGCAATACTGTGGTAGTCAGAACCTGCAAGAAGTCCCCCTCCTCTACACGTCCACCTTTCCAGCTCTTAAATTGTCTCAGATTAATTCATACTGTGGGGGTCCTGGGCTTTTTTCATGCTTACATTTCCAGCAAATGCACAATTATTCCCCACCTTCAGTGACTGGTATCCAGATGATTTCAGTCAAGAAAAGGGTTGAACTTTTGAGATAGTCCGTTATCCAAACCTATGTTTCAATCTGTTTGTCATTGCGTAAATGGAAAAGCTTCGAAGCAAACATAGGTGTCACCGAAATGTGGTAGAAGGTGATGTTTATTCCAGTAACGTCTGCCTGGTCATCAAAAGTGTGACTGGCATTCGAGAGCATTGAGTTCACTGGTAGTTATGAATTACTTGGTTTTTGATGTGAGATGATGCTTGATTTGTGGTCCACGTGGGCGGTGGAAGCTTTCATAAGTCAGCACTTTCTGCTAAAACTTTCAGTTGTTGCACATTCCTACCACAGAATCTGACACTGAGCAGAAAACCTTCTGTTCCCTTATGTGTCTTTTTTCCCAAGAGTCTCCCCAACTTTTAAAATGCAAATCATTTATACTTCTGCACCTCCTCAACTTTTTTTTTATTTTGGAGTCAAAGCAAGCAGAAGCCTCAGTGTTTTTTTTTTCCTCTCCCACAAAGATTGTATCTGTCGTCTTCTGAATTCATATGACTTTTTCCTTACCATTTATATTCTCTGAATGCATCACCACAACAAGTTGGCACGTTGCATAGCATATCTAAAAGAAAAAGGCAAGCATTTGCAAATTGTCCAAACTGGCGTGTTTATAAACTAATGCCTGTTAATTAGTCAAATTTACTCCTGATGTTCTAATTGAAACATCTGGATAAGAGCAACTAATGACCTGGAACACTGACCTTTTAATTATACTGATAGAAAGAAAATGGGGAAAATAAGAGAAGTTTGGTTTGTTTTAATTTCTTACTTACCCATGTAAATATACGGCAACATTTCTGCAATGTAAGTTTTTTTTTTTTTCTTTTTCTGGTTTTTAAATTTTCTAAGAATCAGAATTTTGGGTTGTCTTAGCTGTAAGCAGCAATCATCAAAATCAGCAGACATAAACAGCTGATATATATCACTCCATGCATATTGATTCTATGTGACTTAAGTTTTGTATGAACTCCTGACTTACTGAAATACGTGGAAAATATGCCAAATAGCTGGCTTCAGGTATAAATGTATTACTCTTATTTTTGTGAAACTAGGGTACTGTGTCTTTTGTGTGTCCAGATGAATAACAGCACAATAATTTCTAGGGCACTTTGTGGTTCAGCCATCGTTTGAGCTCACCTAGAGCTAAATAGCAAATGCACAGAAGACTTTAAGAGGATTGTTTCTGCACAGTCGTCACTTTGTTGCTGGTGGTGTTTTTTGACACAACCATCGACTGTGGAGGTCTTGTCTGTGCAGTCGTAGCTCTTTTAAACCAAGAAGCCGCAGCAATTTGGACAGCAAACGCTCATCTGACAGCAAACACATCGAGTGTAGGAAGCGTGGGACTCACAGATGTGCTTGCACCAATTATGAAGCATAAGAGGGGGGTTGCAAGTGTACTGATCAAAAAACAAAAGCTTAATCTTAGCTTTGCTCATCGAAGATTCTCGTCCTGGCTGTAATTGGTTGTTTTTGGCCAGGAGCGGTGCATTTCCTCAGCTCAGGAAGGAGATGGAGGAGATCGATCTTTGCACATGACAAACTGTCATGACATGCTCACAGTTTTAGCAAATATTTAAAGAACATACTCTTTATAAAAGTTACATACTGTGACTTTAAACAACATTTTTATTCCTTTTCACTCGCTAACAAATCAAATCGTGTAAACCTACTTATGCTCTTGACAAGTATTGGCACTTTTACTGAGGATGAGTGCGAAAACCTTTAAATAAATGGTTGCTCTGGATTGTTAGTGACCCTAACATGCCACCCTGTATGGTGCTAAAGTGGCATTAAACTTTTTTTTTTCTATGGATGGTGGCAAGATAAACTTGGGTTCCCGTTCAACGTCTTTTATCACAGTTTCAGTTATTTTAAACGTTTTAAATATCATCTACAGTCACTCAACTGTGACTGTAGATGAGTCTGAGTTTGGGTAAAGAGTAACATTTCCTGTCGCTGTTTATTTATCTACTGGAAAATATGCCTTGATTGTCATATTCATTATAATGGAAAATGACCTCATGTCATTTCAACATGAAAGTATTGATCTGTCATCAATAGTTCCTGAAGAAATGAGAACTCTTAAAAAGAAATGCTTTTTCATCATTTTAGTTGGTTATTACTTTTGTTGCAGCTACGACTGGTTTTATAAATAACTTATAACTTTATAAATAAAGATCCACCCATGTCTGCTTTACTTTTACTCATTTTGATTAGTTGTGAATCAGACACAGAAAAACTGAAAGTCATCGATAAAGTTAATCACATCATATTAACTACTAACAATAAAAAAAATGTGAATATTTTATTTTACAGGAACTGTTCGGGAGTGTGACCTATCTGTGACCTCAGTACATTTTTTACATAAAATTTTCCTAATGTTCTTTTTTCAGGATTAAAGCACATTTTACATTTGAGTACATTAATTCACTGAATGAATGTGATTAAAGGTTAGATATGTCAGATTTGTTTATGGTGAGATTATGTTGCTGTGTTTGGCCTCAGTATTACTGTTAACTTATGTTGCTTTTTTCAGCCTCTTCTGTTTTTATCCCATATATTTGAATTGTTTCCCTTGTTGTGTATGCTTCATAAATAAAAATTGACTAATTTGACAGTCAACTCGACGCAGGTAAACATGAAAACGTCTCAACGTTTAAAATCAGTCGTCAAATTCAAAACAACTTCAAAATACCTTGTTTTTTTTAGTAATATTCAGGTAAAAATAGATGAAAATTGCATTTTTTCTTTACTCAAATGTTAAGTTTTTCACCCTGTTCTGCAAAAACAGTAGGTTTGATCCATTAAGGGTGTTTTGAAATGTTCTCTCTCATCGCACCCTTCACTCATTGTAATGTTTCATGCACATTTTTTCCCCTTTTTTCTCTTTTTTCCGCTCTGCCTTCTTTAGAGGATGTCTTATATCATGAAGGTAAGGTTAGACGTGTCTCTGTTTCTGTGTGTGTGCTTGTGGGTAAAAATGTGGGCAGGGGGAGGTGGGATGGGAGTTGCCTGTATGCGAGTGTGTTGAGCTGACATGCCATTGCTCTGTTTTGCTTCACTTCTTCTCTTTTATTGTCTCATCATGTTGGTTTCCTGTTTTCTGTGGCCCCTGCGAGTTTTCTCTTCCCTCCATTCCCTGCAAGAAGTCAGCCAAACACTAAGATACTTTTTTTTTTTTTTTGCCCTTCATCTTTTGAAATCAATTTCTGACGCACCGGAGCAATAAAGTTCCACCTGAGAAGCTTCTTTTCTGGAAAGCTCAGTCGGGTCTGTCCCTCAGCAATGAATTTTTTTTGACACAGGCAAATAAGTGCAATACCTATTTTGACATCATAGAATAAAGGATGAGTTTTTAGGTGGCTTTTGAAAGAAAGGAAAGAAAAAGCGGGAGCTGAGTTTTCCGTGTGTCGTCTATACGCCATAATCTTTCAAATCATTTACCAAGCAGCCTAAGGCATAATTTGTCAAACATATTAGTCATATCTTCTGCTTAAAGGTGACACATAGTCATTTTTGCCCATTTTGGCATCTTTAAGCTGCTTTTTACAAGAACAGGAGTTGGGAAAGCACAAGAATACTGCAGTTTTAACTATAGGTAGCTAAACCACATTATTCATCTTAAATAGTTTTGACCCTCTAACTTTAAAAACAATGAGCCTTCATGGCAAGACTGAAATCTCTATGCATCTCAATATATTAAATGCCCTTAAATATGTTAACTTTTTCAGTAATTTGATTCAAAATTCACATAATATAGATTCAGTAGAAGCAAGTGATATGTTCCAGTTATTTTCTGTTTATTTTGATGATTATTCCTCTCAGCAAATCGAAACCCAAGATTCAGTATCTTAGAAAATTTTAATATTACAGAAAACCTACAAAACAAAAGTATTTTTCAGGAAAAGTCATCCTACAATTTAAATGAATGACATTCTTCACACAGAAGATAACCCAAAACATAAGTGCTGCACTCAAACATTGTTAAGTGTAAGGAAAAAATGCAGAAGAATTGGAGATCAATGCAGCTTTTAGTCGGTATGAATCAAGCTCATTTGAAAGTCTGAGGGTCATTGAGGTGAGTTATTAAAGAGATATTCCTCACTGATGTACTCAGGAAGTTTTACTTGTTGGATTGGATTGTTGGAGCTTAAGAAGCTCCTGAACTCGAAAAAACATCAGAAGTAAAATCCACACGATTAAAATCCTTTCTTTTATTGGTTAAAGCTCTTTTCATCACCTTACTCTATTGAGTTATTGTTTTTTTCAGCACTTTGGTTTTAAACAACCCCACTGTTTTTAAAAGTGCTTTATAAATAAATTTGACATTGACAAAGCCGTAAGCCAAAAGCCATTCAGTGAAAATAAAAGCTTGTTGCAGATCAATCTTCGCTCAATGAATGCAAAAGAGTTTCATGATTTGAATTGAATTACTGAAATCACATTCTGAAAATTGCTGTCCAGTTTGAAGTGTTTCTAAATAATGGGGCATGGAGCAAATTGCTAAATGTAAAGAACTAAGACAGAAGGATCTCCATGAGTTCAAGGTCTGCTCTACTCAGGACAGGAATAACACGTCACACAATGACTAAACAGGTTTTTTGGTTAATTACGTCACACCTCTGGTTTTTATATGTTTCGCAGAGAAACTATTTTTATGAATGATTTCAAATTAAATGAAAACTAAGTAGTAAAGCAAAACCCTCATTCATGAAACTAGTTAGATTTTTAAAAAAATAACACTGAATCTTAAGTTTTTACTTCAAATGCTTGGCTGAGACTGTAGAGATACAGCTTTGGTAGTTCAGTTACTTTTATTTTCCTGCACTTATATTTTTGAACGCACATGATATAACCTATAGAAATTATTAGATCTTATTTGAAACCCTTCCAAGCAGGTTGCATTTTACCTCAGAGACGTTTTCCTGCCAGTTTGGTCTCGGTTAACTCATGCTTGCTGCCTTGTTTGTTGATGGTTCTCTTGTTTCTTCACTGTGTGTACATTCGGGATGCAAATCCCCAAAAAGCTTGCATTGCGTTTTGAACTGACGCCTCATGTTTCAGCCGTGTGTAGAGCTGAGACGTTTGTGTTCACAAAGATTCATTGAGTTTGTTTTTTGTGCTCCTGCAGGACTCCAGTAAGAGCCCAAGGCCGATAAAAAAGTTCCTGCCAGGCAACAGGAAGAAAGACCGCAAGCCCTCTGATGACGAGTTTCAGATAAGAAAAAGTAAGTTTCACCCTGAACAAGAACTGCTTCTAAATTTCAAATAATTCATGTTTATATTTCACTGCCTAAACTTTCTTGCTTGCACTGAATTTATCATGAACAAGTTATTTAAAAAAAAAACAATCTTAAAAATCATAATGCATTTTCAATCTTGACTTTGCTCAGATTTTCTTGTTTTAATTGTAGAAAAAGTAAAATTTGTCTTTTTATTTTATAAAATTTTCACTCCCGTTTAATTCCAAAATTTTCCTTGCAAAATAATTGCATGCATTTCAAACCATAGACCTCCCCAGCATGTGACATTAGACATCCATATGTGATGTACCAACTAACTTACTCACTTTTTAGTGACCTGGCAACACCCAGTTGAGTAACTCCCGCGATAACTGCTTAAAAATAAAAAACGTCAGGAAAACGGTGTAGAAAGCAGAAAAAGGTCACACCACCAGTTTGACAGAATTTCAGATATTTAAAACCATTAAAAAAAAAAGACGGATCAATAATTATTGATATGGACTCATAAAAAGCTGATATCGTTTTTCAGCCATATCATCCAGCCCTGCCCCACCTGCTGGATTCACAATATTTTTGATTAATAATACAGTGAAACCTTTCCTGACACAGTAAACTCATGTCATGCACCCTGCTGAGCAGCATTCTCTCTCTTGTTTTGCATTTTCTAAAAGGTATGAAGTGTTTCTCCGATTGCTAAATAACGGTCATATCTCAACAGGCACAGCTGCTCTGGAGGAAGACGCTCAGATACTTCGGGTGATTGAGGCTTATTGCACAGGAGCCAGCCTGCACCAAACCACCACAGGTGTGTGTTGCCGGTTCACACACTGATACATCAAAAATGATTTTGGGGGTCTTAAAGGCATCAACGTAGCTCATGTGTTCATTTGTGTGTGCATGCACAGCGGTACGGAAAGAGTGTGTCCCTCAGGTTCTCCTGCCTGAAGAAGAGAAAATAATCGTGGAGGAAATTAAGAGCAACGGACAGACAGTTACTGAGGAAAAGTAAGCTTGTTGTTGCATCTGAAGAATAAGCTTTGAGAATATTTCGGCATAAATATTTACTTGCAGTTGGATTCACCAATCAAATATGTATCCATTAAAGACAAAATCAGCTTCATGTATAAAATAAATAGAATGAAATGTTTAGCTGGCTAAAACAAGCTCAACATTTTACTTCTTCTGGCATGAAATAAATGCTTTTATATTTTAACTTGTAGGAGCCTGGTTGACGCAGTTTATGCTTTAAAGGACGAGGTTCATGAGTTAAAAAAGGTAAGTTGGAACACTTGTAATAAATGCTAAATTATTTATTACAGGAACATGCTGAGTCGTATTAACTACCTGAAAGTTAGTTAATACGACTAAATGTACAAACTGCTAATAGAAATTATCATTTTAAGCACTTCCTCGGTTTGATTTAATTGATGTTTTGTTTGGTTTTTTGTGTGTTTTTAGATCTGTACATTAACCAGATTATCAAAAATTGAGTTAATGAAAGTTGGAAAATGTTAGCCAAGAAAGTAGAACGGTTAGTTTTGATCCCTCTGCTTGGTGGGAGGGGGTTTAATGCAAACACCTGTCAATTATAGAACGTTTTTGAATTTTCAGAACAAGTAACTTATTACCAGATTAGAAAAACATTTATGCAAACTTTCTACATAATGCAGAAATACAAAAATAGCCTTGCTATTTCTGCAATACATAAATAGAAATGTATTGGAGGACAGTACATTGGTTTCCTCTCATCATCTATTTTACTACATTGTGTCATAAAGTTATTTTAAATCTGTCACATAAAGAATATTATGTTATCAAATTGTGTGTGTGTTTTGTTTATTTATTAGTTTTTTTTTCTTTACTTATGATAATCATTTTTGGAATCTCATCCCAATCCATGCCGAGTTTGACTATGAAATGTCCTTTTGTGTTGCATTCACTAAAGACAATTATTTGGTTCAGGTAAGATTCGTAGATTCTCACCAGAACTCAAATGAAAACATCTGAACTGTGGAGCTCAATAAAAACTGAAGAGTAAATGAAAACGAGGCCTCTTGGTTTTAATCCGTCACATTGTTATTTTTCTTTTTTCAAACACACAATAATTCGCTTGAGCTGAACTATTTCATCAATATAAATGCCTCCACTGTTACTACGAAATTGAATCTCCCCTCATTTCTATTTGTTGATGCTTAACCAGAAGGAAGGAGACAGACAGTGAACTAATCTCTCACTGTTTTGACTTTATACAAGTTTCTACCACCAGCTTCTCGGTACTGTAACCAACATGTTGGCAGTCGAAACAGCTGGTGGTAAAATGAGTTCTGACTCCAAACCAGCAATGAACCCACTTTTGTGGAAACCCCCCTGTGTGAAGACAACAGGATGCTGGTCGATCTCACATGGGTTTGGTCTTCCCTGTCTAGAAAACGCTTCAGAGATTTAAATGTAAATCGGACCTCTCAGGCACTGCGATCTGATTTAGGGAAGCCTGGCTTCCCACAATGCAACACGGCAGCAGTAGGGAATTCAGATCTCCACAACCAATAAGTAAAATTTGTGAATCCAATAATTATGTTCTCATTTGTTCTCATTTTGTTAGTCAAATCATTTCAAGAGATCCAACTTTTAAAGTGCATTTTCTGTTTTTTGGTAACATTTTATGTCCAGGAATGTGCATAAGAGTGACCCTTTTAATGCAGCTTTCAGTACAACCTGGCATCGAGAAAAGCTTTCCTGCAACTTCTGGGTGCAACTCTTTTCCAACACAGAAATAAGGAGCCATGTTGTAATGACACAAAGGCTGAGCTTTAAGGCGTTAAATCACAAATTCAGTTTCTTTTAAGTCATATTGCATATATATATATGATTTTTAGAATAGTTGAAGGTAACAGTTACTTGATTGTGCTGTAAAATGACATTTGTGTCTGTAAAATGCACCTGTAAAGGGCTGTGAATGCCTTTGCCAGAGCATTAGAAATTATGGAAATCTGAGACAAACCAGTTACTGACAAACATTACCATCTGAGCCTTCACTCTGTTATTATTCCCCCCTGTGTTTCACAGGAGAATAAGTGGATGAAGCAGTTTCTGGAGGAGGAGCAGAAGTCTCGCAAAGAGCTGGAAAGATTGGTGAGAAAGCTGAGCAAGCAAAAGAACGACTGCGGCTGGGAGGACAGCAGCCATTAGGACAGTGACCATCCTCACAGCACACCTCTTCAGCCTGTCAGCTCCCGTTTACAGGCGCGGATTCGCACTGGGGCAGGTTTCTGTGTGTTTATGCGTTTATTTTTCTATGCGTGTCTTCCGTCTTCACATTTCAGTCGCACATAAACGTGGAGCTTCGTCGCCTCCGAACCTGGAGCTTGATTTGACAGCTCGACGGAATCGGATCCGTCTCATCGGAAGATCCAGACGAGCATGCTTACTGCCGAACAGCTCGGCTAATCCTCTGTGTTTCAAGCAATCTCCCCCATTTGGACTGTCAGATCCGCCTTGCTAATGGAAGAATTTTGGAAAGAAACAAACTCTCCGTAGCTTCTCCTGCTGTTGTTGGAATAGAAAAGAAGCAAAAAGCCATTGAGTCTTCTGCTTCTCTTGTCTGAACTTTTAAAACCGGACTGACAATGATCTCTTCCAATCATGACTTTGTCACTGTTCTATTTTATAACTATACGGCTCCTTGTTGGAAAAGATAAATCTTCCTGTTGTGCTTTCATGATACACAGCATTTTTCAACATGACAAAGATTCGTCTAATTTATGTTCAGGGGATTTTATAGGCATTTTAACAAGTCACACAGGTGACTATAACAAGCTCAATCTCCAAATGCAGCTGTATACTGTATTTAAAAACTGCATGGATGTACAGTGTTTCTACATTATAAATTCTGCATCAGAAATGCGATAATCAATATATATCCAGACATATATACTCCAAAGCAATGCATCTGCATAATGAAATAGGAAAGACTTAACTCTGTACTATTTGCTCTTATAAAAGTAGACAAAGAAGTAACCCTTACTCAAATATATATGGGAATCATTTTAACATGTTGAGTAGATAACCTTTATTTCTTTTGAGTTTATAAGGATAGTCCGTATTTATTGCTAACCCAGACATTTAAAATGTGGTGTAAGCCTTATGGAGAACGTTTTGCAAGGAAAACCCTGTTTTATATTGCTAAAGAGGAAAAAGAGAATCTTGTTTTGCTTTGAGAATTTACAGATTTCTGTCTGGGAACAGAGGAAATAAACAGATGTTGGTGTTAAACATATTTAAGTGCCTCCCGAAGGGGTCCGGAAACCAAAAGAGAGTTTGAGACCGACTGGGACTAAACATGAAATATACTCAAAGTGTCAAGCTTAGTTTAATGATGTTATTATGTATGTTGGGTCTGAAAACAAACAGCGCTTTGCTTCCTATCTATGGTCGTGGCCTCTTTCTGAAGACCAACCGCGGTACATTTCCTCATGGGGACGAGCGCACGCACTGTCAACGCTGTTATGTGGTGCACTGCACAGAAACAGTGAATGTAACTGAAATGCAATAAGTGACTGCTTTACTGACAGACTTCTGGGTAAAAACCAGCAGCCATCAGATTCAAACAACCTGCAATATTAAGGACTGAATGAATTCATCCACATGCTTTTTATTCGCCTTTACTCAGTGACGTTTCCTGATTAAAAACAATGAGGTCCATTGTTTTCCATCCACAAATGATCCAGATTGTTGAATTTGTGACACAGTTGCTCTGTGGGAAGTGTGTGTGTGTTTTTTTTTTCTAGTTTTTGCACGCACCTCTGTTCAGAAACTTCTCAGCACTGTGTAGCTTTTGATGCAGCTGGTTCGTCTGCAAAGGTGCAACTTTCAGGCTCAAAGGCACATCTCGTCTCACCAGCCAGACTAGATGATCTAATAATGTTGCAGAGACGCAACCTCCCCTCAAAATGACTGTTTCCATTAAACACCACACACTGTAATTCGAAAGTCCCAATACCTTCTGTGAGCACTTACTGGTGGGAAGAAGTTCATCTGATTTCCACACCACTGTGTTGTTTTTTTTGTTTGTTTTTTTTAAAGCTTGTTCTATGCAATTATTGTTGCAAGTATTTTATCCTTTTTTTCTAGACATTCTCTACTGTATGTTTGGTTTGATTGTTCTTTTATTAAAAGTTTAATATAACAAGCAGAGTTTTGGATTGAAAATCAGTTTGTAACCATGACAGCAATGGAAATAGGTTTTCTATTTTCACGCTGGAAATCCACAGATGGCAGGCAGGCAGGCTTTTCCGCCCCACGTTCATCACATGTGCAGCGCAGGAATTTGTAGGCTGTTCAGCTTCGCTCTCAGGAAACCTTTTGCACAGTGGAAGGAGTGACATGCTGTAAGGGTAGGCTGCATCTGCACACCTCCATAGAGATTCACACTTTCCATACTGTTGTACTCCATGTGAAAAGCACGTTTTATTCGCCAACCTATACTCTCAGACGTTTTGAATTACTCATCAAGTACTGCAGGTGTACTTATGAACTAAAAAGGAAACATTACAGTCATGAAGAAGCAGAGTGGAGCTATTTTAGGAACACAAAAAGGCCCAAGCGAGCCTGGTATGAGTGTCACGACTCAAGATGGATGGCATAGAGTTTTTTCATATCCATTCTTGCCTCCCTGGGCGAACAGTTTCTTCGGAACTTGAAAATCTTGACGAGCTTTTGTGTGTTTTCATACGCATATTAAAAAAAGCTTTTAAAAAATCTCTGCGCAGTGTAGAAAAAAAAAATCAGTCTAGACATAAATTCATTCTCCAGTTTTTTTAAAATACAGTGAAAAATCTCTTTACTGCACCTCGCCAAATCGACATTGGAAAAAAGCAATAAAAAAACATACTTGAAGCACTGTTTGCATAACTTAAAAACTAAAAATAGATGTCAGATGCTCAGGTTTTCCCCAAAACCTGGGCCACCCTACCCATAAAGACCTGTAGTAAAAAAAATATACCAACATGGCAGCCCTGCCTAAAAAAGAGCTGAAAGGGTCGTTGGATTTTTTGAATTCTGAAACAAGATACATTGATTTGATTTGGAAGGTTAAATTACAAAAAGGATAACTGTGATGAGAGAAAAAGTTGACCTCGTCAGATTTCCAAAGATAATTTTCAAGTCAAGTGTCTATCTTTGTCACCGTGAGAAGGTGCATCACTAGTTGCTGCTGTGTGCTCTAGAAAATCAAAACCACAGTGGTTCAGAGCAGTTTCTGTTCTTTATCACATTTAAAAAGTGCTGTTTTTCTGAAATTTTGAGTTTTTTTGTCAAATAATCTCCATTAAGAGCTGCTGGACAATGAAAATGTAAGCACTAATCCTTGAAATGTGTAATTGCCTCACCCCCAAAAAAACCAGAATAGATCATTCAGATTAAATATAAAAGTTATTTTACATATGGTCCAATTTATATAAATAAATACAAAGCAATCACTGACAATAACAAAGAAATAGACAATGTTATTTAATAAATTATAGTTTGAAAATGTCTCTCAATTCCACAAAAGTTTGTTGATTAACTCCTGCAGAGTCTTCTTAGTATCTATATTCCATCCACATTCACAGATCCCTGTTTTGGAGTCCTGGTCCATGCGGCTCCTACAGCTTATACATCCCAAAACTCGTCGATTGCTTTCCGTAGTCCACAAGCGAGAGATTTTCCACCCAGATGCCGAGCTGGTTTCCCTTGCTCAGCGTGATCACGTCCTGCAGCGTAACTGTGCACAGCTGAGGGCTCAAACCGTCCTTGTCGCTCAGGCTGCAGTGGGCCTTAGTCACCTCCTTCTCCGCTTCTGTCTCGCTGTTCCTCATCTTGATGCAGCCGGTCAGCGGGGCGATGCTGTGCTTGGAGAAGGTCACCCTGGAGTAGACGAGGTAGTCACCGGGCTCCAGGACAGTCAGCCAGCTTTTGTGAAAGTAGTTGATTCTCTTGCGAACTGAGAGGTCCATTCTCCACTCAAGATAACCAGCTAGAAAAAACAGTAAAAGTTGTTTTTTATTTTTTAATTATAACTGGATTTCTATAAAAAGAAAAAAAGAGAGATTTTTTTTCTTACATTTTTTCTCAATTGTAGCATTTGGCTTTCCAATTAACATGCGTGCAAAAGCTCCGTAGGTTGTTTCTTGTTTTTCTACGGGGGGAAAACCAACTAAAAGTGGAAAAAAACACAAATACATGTCAGGTTTCTTTATCTGATTGACTTTTCCTTCTACACTCAGAACAGCGTCAATCAGTAAAATCAATTTACCTCTTCCTTGTGGTGAGGAATAGGTTGCCTGCAAGAACAAGAGAAAGTTAAACATCAGTGGAACAATAGAGAAATAATTATTCTCAACACTGAAATAAATCTACTTTAGCAAAGTGCTAAATATGAGGCCAAAAACCGCATGCGAGTTGTGACATGTATGCTGCATTTACAGAGGAGGATTTCCTGTGCATCTCACACTAAATTTTGGTGAGACTAAAGATGGTGCAAAACCTGTGAATCTGCATCAGTTTCTGCCTCCCCAGTTAAAGAAAACTCAAGTTTCCAGCTTTAGATTTAAAACAAAACAACTTTTGTACAAACCACGGCGCTACTTACATGTGCAATTTGTCTTTCGTTGTAGTACAGGTATAGAAATCCTCCAACAGACAGAAACAAGTGCAGCGTCACCACACAAACCAGAAATCGCAGAAGTGGCTTGCTGTAGCCTGGCGATGGGAGCTGAGTTGGGATGAGGATGGGCTCGGGCCTGCCGAGCCGCGGGGGCACCGGCGGAGGCACCTGTGGCAGCGCCATGCTGGTCTGGTAGGTGTTGATCATGATGCAGTGGAGCGGCCTGTCGCCCGTGACATCCCATGCGCTTCTGAGCAGATGCTCCCCAAAGCAGACGAGTTTTTCTGCATGTACTTCCTGGAAGCTTTGAGCCCTTCAGATCTGTGAGAGCTGTGACCTTTGTGGAGGACGTAAGTGTGCCGTGTGAAATACATCATAGCATCTCTTCCTTCCTTTATGGCAGGTATGTTTCACTTGGTTCCATTGATTGCAGTGTTTTTCTGCACTACTAAATAAAACCCAACCCTCACAAAGAAGCTTGTAAATAGATTGTGACGTGGTTTCTGATGCAGACAGCATACTCAAACTGGATTCTTCAGTTGGATTTACGAGCTTATGGCCTTTCTATGTACTTGATGAGTTATTTTATTTCGAAGACTTTAAAAAACTATGCACTGATTGCATCACACTAAGTCTCACAATATATTTAACCAACAAAGACATATGTGTCAAATCCAACACCCAGTTTGCTTTTATGACACTATTTCTGTTTGCAATATATTTTTTTTATTTTTTCGCTTGTTGTTTATTCTCTATCGAGCAAATGTGTGAACAGGCTGAAGATTTTTCATATTTGAGTTTTTCTAAAGATATTTCTTTTGTCACTTAGGTAAAAAGTAAAGAAAAAATTATTTTGTTCTTGAAATAATGATTTATAGTTATATCAGCTTTTTAATGCATCAGAGTTAAACACCACCTCCCACATAGTGACTCCTGGAACAGGATCCAGCTGCCATGAACATGATTAAGAAAGAAGAGCTAATGGATTCACAGAGTGTCAAAATCTAAATGATTTTATTATCAATCCAAATTTTAGGTTTTAAGAAAGAGCTCTCCCAAATTTTTCTGAAATGCTTAAAGTAAAAATAATGACTCGAGCACACAGCCCTGTGGTACTCCATTCCAACTTGTGGTTTGATTTGTCTGTGTCAATAACAAACAGGCCCACAGCATGACAGATCCTCTACCATTCTCATTAACATTTGTTAATCAGTCCGGATGAGGAGAAAACTCACAGAGATTTATGAAGGAGGCTTCTTCTTATTCTAGATTCCCACATGCAGCAGGGTTATCCATGTCAAGGAGTTTCACTACTTCACCACAGCACCTTGGTTGTGGTAGCAAAAGTTGAGCTAAAGTGAAACATTTTAATGCAACACTGTTTCACTGCTGAATGCACCGAGAACTGCATTCTCAGTTTGTGCAGCTGCGGTGTTGCTACAGGATGATTCAAGCTGACTGGAGTTACTGAGCTGGTTCTCCGTCTTTTCTTTTCGCCATAAAATTCTCTCCATATCGCTAAAACAAATAAAACTTATTCAAAGTTTGAATAAGTTTGGTTGAAACATCTAAAGTAGCTTTTTTTTCTTTTTTTTTCAAACGTAAATTTATTTTTTTCCCAGTCAAAAATAAAATGATTGTACTGATTGAACTGCAATGTACTCTTGCCATTTTCTACATTATATTGCATTATATACACTTATTTGTTTTTTTTCTTTTAGGCAGATAATATTTGTTGTAGATTTAATGAGATTCTATCACCTAACTATCATCAATTGTTTTTAATACCTTGTTCTTTTGCAACAACAGCTGCATAAAATGTCTTTATCACAGAACGAGTAGAAACCAAGCTGTGTGATAAACCTGCATCTCTGATCAGATATAATGTCAGTGATACAGTGAAAAAAGAAACACATGCATAATGTTTGCACTCTAAGTTTTCTGCACACGTTTGTTTAATTATAGCAACACATGAACCTTAGGCAGAGAGCTGGTGCTGAACTCAGCGCTGATGAGTTGCGGAGTTTCACAGCTTCCCCTGGTGGTTCATAACGTTCTTAACTCCAGCTCTGCACCTGCAGAGAACAAACTGAATATTAAGCTTTGAAAATGTGTCAAACTCGAGGGCTGGGGGCCAAATGTGGCCCGCCACAGCTTTTTATAAGGCCCCATAGGGATGATGGATGTCACTTCTGTCAATCAAAGCAAATCTGTTCTCATCTGTATTCTGCTACATTACAGCAACGTGAAACAATGTTCAGTATTATTTAACATTAAGAAGTACTTATCAAATGCAGAGATATTGATTTATTAATATTTTAACAATCTGTTAATGAGTTTTATCAATACTTTTTGGCACAACTGGCCATTTGAGAATATGAGTTTGACAGCCCTGACTCCATTAATCAACATTTATTTATTTACTTTTACTTTGTTGTTGTGAACCGGATCATTTTGGTCCCGTTGTTGTTCTAACTTTGACTCTCTTAATACAATTTATTCAGATTGGCTTTTAATTAGTTTTATTTTGTTTTGTGCTCCATTTATTCTCTTTTATTTCTCCTTCTGTGTTTTTATGTGTTACGTTTTGTAAAGCATTTTGTGGTTTTTGACCTGTAAAGTGTGCTATATAAATAAAATTTACTTATTTACTTACCTGATCAAACAGGTAAGCCCTCTTTTCGTTTGGCCAAATATTTATGTGAAGCAAAATATATTTATGGAAGGTGAAATATTTGTTTTTTTAAATAAGAAGCCAGAGGTTAATAGAAGGAACGATTGGAAAAATTAATTTATATTTTCTTATAAGAGCTTCTTATGTAACAATATTTTTATGGAGAAGCCGTTTGTTCAAGAGAATCTTCAATGTAATAATTACCAGAAAATACATAAAATGTTAATCAATGTCTAAAAGCGACAAAAACGAACACCCAAAAGGAAGCGACCACTGACGAATGTGATTGTGAAGCTTTCATGGTGTGTAATGGACAAACAGGATGTTTCTATCGCTGCGGCAGCTGCAGGGAGCGGCGGTTCTGCTGCAGAGGAACTGAGGCTGCGAAGGGCTGGAGGAGGCTGGTTTCCGACCATCAAAGGCATCCGACTGATGATTTCTTGGAGCTGGCTGCTCCTCTCCATGAACAGACTGTGGTTCCCCGCTGCACTTTATGAAGGCTACGAAGCACCTGTAAAACTGTGTGAAATACAGAATAAACCTCAAACATTAGCGCGCCTAAACTGGAACATTTACATTTCTTTTGCATATTTTGACATAAAACAATATACTAATTTATACTTTTTAAACCAGCACTTTATAGTTTGCGTTAATGCATCCAGACTTTACACTGAAATCATGCAAAGTGGTGTTAATGAACAGCTTTTCAGCCTTTCTGCAGTTTTCTTTTTCACTCATTTTCTACACGAAAACTTGGATTTGAAAGATGCATAATTCTTCAATTGACCAGATTTTTCAGGAAAAGGTTTTGTAAAATACAATTTAATAAAATTCTGCTTTTGTGATTAATTACTTAATTCACTTAATTTGATTTTAAAAAGGCTTTGGCTATGTTTTCTGTTATGAATCAACACAATACTTAAGTTTAGGAGCCTTATGGTGCCTACATGATCAGTAGAGTTAATGCATAACATATTATCAAAAACTTGACATCTTCAGTGAAGGTAGTTTTATTTATTTTGAATGACTTGTTTAATTTTCCAAGCAGATGAAAACATTAAAAAGTAAGCTGGTATATTCTGGCATTTTTGATAAAATTACCATGATTTTTTTTTATACCTTGCCTTGAAAAAGAATATTCTAATTTTCCACATTTCAGCATATTAGAATCTGAGGAAAATTATACCTAGCTTATGATTATTTTATACAAAAAAATATGTTTATTTAAGCCATGTAGTTGACAGGCACTTAAATGTTTACATTAAAAATGATACATGTCAAAATAACTATCCACCTCAACACACCTAATCAATCTCTATGTGCTCTGATCAGCGCAGACTGAAAGATGGACAGATCTGAACTCAGGATAAACGAAAACATTTTACAGACTGGAAAAGACTGGGGCGAAGGTTTAGTGGGATAACAACCCTGAACATTCAGCCAGAGCTGCAACATAATGGTTCAGTCAAAGTCCAGACCTAAATCCAATTCAGATTCTGCAGCAACATTGATAGTCAGGATTGCTCTCCATCCAATCCAACCAATCCTGTGTGTTTTTACAAACAAGAATGAGTAAAGATGTCAGATTTGAATGTGCTGGTAGAAATATAAACCAAAAAACCTGCAGCTGTGATTTCAGCTAAAGGTTTGTTAGATTCTCATGCAGCGTGCTTTAAAATAATTTTCCTTCTGTGTAACGACTACTAATTTGTTGCTTTGGTCTATCATAAAATCCCAATGAAATGCAATAACTCATGTTTGCAGCTCCACAAAATCTGAACATTTTCAAAAGGTCTAGGAGCGGAGATAATAAATGATGATACCATTTTATCTCTGTAAGCTGCTGTCTTAATCCTGGTGATACTTTTTTTCTGTCTTGCAAGTGAGGTGAGTTATCATCATTTTAAAGGGACAGTATTATGTATGTATTAAGTCACATTGTAAACATACCTTGAGTGTTACTTTGATTCATTCAGCTGGGTGGACCAAGCCCCGCCTTCGAGGCGCAGCCCCTCCTCACAGCTGAAGTTTCTAAGATTCTGAGCTCAACTCCTTCAGACTAGCCTGCAGCAATTAGCGAACATCTGGTGGAACTGCACAATATGTGAGCTATTTCTCAGCACAACGCTGGTAAAAAACGTTGTTAAAGTGTTCATAGAGGAGCCATGTTGTGATGACTTCCTGAAGCCAGGTTTCAGAGGTTTTAAAGAGACAGACACCCAATTTCAAGTCATTGAAATAAGCTGATAACTGAAGTTAACATAGTTACTTGATTGTGCTACAAAACGGGCCCAAACACATAATAACACCCCTTTAAAGTTTTCCTCTCCAGAAAAACCACTGCACTTCATTCTTCCTGAGGTCTGACCTGGTTGTTAAAGAACACGTAGATAATGGGGTTGACCACCGTGCTGAACTTGGCCAAGATGGACGGCACCACGCTGGCCAGGGGAGTGACCAGCCCCGACCGGCCGAAGGTGGCCATCAGCGCCGTGACTCCATAGGGCATCCAGCACACCATGTAGCAGGACACCATGGACAGCACCATGAGCAGAATGTGTTGCTCTCTGCGCTGTGCGGCCAGCAGGTTGACCTTACCCACCTGGATAACAGAGTCACAGACACAGAAGGCAAAAATGATCGAATTTTATCATTTTAAAAGCATAATCTAATATTCCTCAAACAGGTATAAGCTGAAATCAGTGAGTTTTGTTTTTACTGAACTATTTTTGTGCATAATAAAGTTAAGTTTTTAATATTTTCCTTCAATGTCTCGTAGATTTTGACATTTCTTCTGGATTTTTCATTGATTAATAATGTGCAAATTTAAAGTCACCCATCTACAGAGTCTATTCATTTACTGCCATCCAGTGGTAGAGTGAAGAAAAACACAGCATCTTAATTGCGCCTTTCAGTCAGGACTTCTTGCAGATT